TAGAAATACTCCTAGTCGCTTCATGCTACGGAAACCGGGATAAGCTCCAGCCTGATGGGCCACTTGGCTCGCATGCAGACTTTACCTTACCTTTACCTACTGTCAGATAGTAACACCTTGCCAATATTCCTACAAAGGTTACAAAAACCGTCGCTTCTACAGGTATACATATAAGTATCTACACATTTAAGAAGTTAGTTTTTAAGACATACCTTTGGAAATTTGTACACCAAACTGAAGGCCCTAAGGTATAACTCATACTACAAAATAAAATACAAACCATTAATTCAATTTACATAAGACAAAACAAAGCCAGTATTTATAAAAACACAGTGGTTTTAAACAAAAATGATGATGCAAAAATAATTTTAGCCAGACATGAATGAAGTTTTAAGATCCCTGGTTTTTCCAGCTTTCCTTCCTCCAGAAAACCAAACACTTCTAAATTTTAGTTTGATATAGAAGCATTGGATGAGGAGCTCCTCCATGGGATATGCAGCTACCAGTGGATCTTTTTACTGATGTCACACTTTGATCTTTTTACATGCAAACAAAAATAAAGCCACACCACCCAATTTATCACATGAGCAAAGTTTCGTAACACCCCAAACCTGCCAATTTTAACAAAGAAATTTATGCTGGGAGGCAAGTTTCCTTTTTATGAGTTTACAAAGGATTCTTATCAGCTATTCTGATAGGGTGTGACTAAAAACAGAAATTATGCAAAACTTTTGGGGCAGATTATGAGATAGGAACAGGTTATTATGCAATAAATTATGCAAATTATGTGATTTTTTCCTGAGCTATCTTAAGCATATTTTAATAGGTTTCATAAGAAGAAAACCACTTTTGGGCTGCTCCAACGACAAATTGATCATGAAGGTACAAAAATTAAACATCAATGCATAAATTGCAATAAAAAGACTCAATGCGAAGTACTTGTTCACCAGGGACTTCCAAAGATGATTGATCACAATGTTGCATTCTTCATCCTATTATCCATGTGGAAGAGATATTTTCTTGCTTACTTTTTCACAATTAAATTTGGCAGAAAGTGTGATTTAGTCTTTTCAGTCAAAGAATAAGCAGGCGATTAAAATTACCCACAAGGGACGTTTATTTCGAATTATACAAAAGAAACTACATTTTGCTGTCGAAATAAAAATCACTTGGATCATATGTTGTCAATATACACAGGCAATTTTGATTGGCCCAAGCAAAGAAAGGGATTGTTTGCGTTGCACCAATAGGCATTTCTTTGAGACTGAAAACTAGCTCCAGTCCCTGGACAACCAAGAAACAACTTATACTTTGATTGTTTACAAAATCGAAGGTTGTAGGAGGTTTTCGAGGCTTTTTCAAAGGCAAATCATCTTGAAACAATGTGTAGATGCGGCATTTTTCCAGATAAAGCATTAACTAATGGTTTATTTTTTAAAAAAAGCAATTTTTCATGAATGGTGCAATCGGATACAATTTGAGGTCGATTGTGCGAAATTGCACCGTCACCTTATCAGAAGGCCTGTCTTATGAAACTTTGCAAACATGTACAATGTATGTATTTACTAAATTTGGTGCGATAAACTGATCTATAGATTCAGGTGGTTTATTGCTTAAATAAAAAAATAAGAAACATAGTTGATATTGTGTAGCATGGGTAAAAGGGTGTATTCCTATTCACTTTAAATTCAATTAATTTGATAAAAAAATCTGCCCTTCTTTCAGTCTCTTGGACTTCAGACTCTGGTGTAATTTACATGTCTGGCAAAATATAAAATTGTATATATCCTATGAAAGCAATGTACAGAAACTTTGAATATATGTATTTGCAACTAAATTTGGCATGATGAATTGACCAGTTCAGGTGTTTTTTTGTTTATATAAAAAATAAGAAACAAAATTGATATTGTGTCAGACATCAGTAAAAAGGTTCATTCCTACTTACTTTTATTCTACATATTTGATAGAACACCTGCCCTTCTTTCAGTCCCTTGGACTTTGGACTGGTATAATTTATGGTAAAAAAAAAATTACCAAGGCTTCTAATAGTAGTATAAAGTATGATAATGCTTTCACAAGCCACACATGTACAATGAATTTGAAATTCACAATGACATCTTATATTAAATAACAAGACATGTTTCCAATGAAACAACATCCATCATCAGTTGTACGAGAATACCAATTGAAAATGAGCAATAAAGTGCAAATAGCAAATGCATCCTGTGGTTTGTGAAAGCATCAAAATATAAAATTGCGTATCATAATTATATGAAAGTAATGTACAGAGTTCACTAACCACATCATGAATTACTGGATTGCACAGTGCAATGTGCGGAAGTTTCTGAAAATCAACAACTCGACGAGCTATACGTATGGGCAATTCCTTTTGAAGAAACTGGGCACTTTTCTGAAATGCAAAGGAGATATTAAAGACAATCAACTATGAATGCACACAATGAATATTATTAATTTTTACTCTTTTTATAATGTTGTGAAAAGGGAAGGCTACAAGTGTTATAGCCAAACAGAATTATAGCGTAGCCTGGCATAACAATGTGCCAAGGTACCAGAAATGTGTTTTTATCATATGGCTCGTATTTGTAGCCAATATAACCCATGTTCTGACTGTTACAGGTCTGCACAAACCAAAAAGCGATGTAACAAACAACTTATTACCCACAAATGTTCGATCTTTCAGGTGAGTAATGTCAAAATCAGACAAGCCCATAGTTCTACATCAATTTGACATAATGAGCACGATTATTCCCTGAATTATATGACACGACGTCCAATTACTAATCTTTTGTATTTATAACAAATTCGAAATTAAAAAAGTCATTGGAAAACTTTTTTTGAGCGAAAAAGTCATTAGCGTTTTCAATAAGTTTTAAATTCCCCTGAACATTTTTAGGGACAAAATATATAGCTTTGAATGCTTGTAAAGTTGTCAATTCCCACCCTTAAGGGACTCACAAGTGGACACAAGTTGAGAACTTGGGTCTACTTGCAAGTCTGTTTCGCCTGGCCTTGCGTGCACTTGCGTTGACTTGCGATGACTTGCACTCACTTTGGTCAAGATCAAAGTTTTACAGAAGTCAATGCAAGTTTCTCACCATTTGGCCACCCAACCCAAGTCAACGTAAGATGAGTGATGCCTTTTTGTTGTTACAGTAACCTATTAGCCAATGAAATACAGGATATGTATGTAGCCCCTAGCCTCTGATGTTTTTTTTGCCACTTGCATGTACTTGCAAGTCTCTACACAGGTTCAACTTGCGGCTACTTGCAACTACTTGCGAGACCTTTTGGCCAGGGCTTAAAAGCATAGGCGTACGGGCACCTTCGGACTTGGGGGGCCAGTGACCTTCTCGCCTGAAAAATTTACACAATGCCTGAATGCGGGTGTGTTGAAATCAGGATGCAAATGCACTCAAATTGCATGAAAAACAAAAATGTTCACAATTCCCACATCCAATGAAAAAGCAATAATTACAAAAATAATTATATTGAAAGCTTGCATACTCAATCTGTCAACAGTCTCAATCCAAGTAAAATCTAAGACTTATTAAAAGAAAAAGTTCTAAAAAAATTTAAAGTAACTAACTGGAAACTTTATTTAAGAGTTTCGGAAATCACACCAACAGCATTATTTTGTAATGTTTTCTCTGAAGTGTCGTTGCCCGAATAATTTAGCATTTCACCCGAAAAATCACATAATTTCCATAGCTGGGGGTGCTGCAGCCCCCCTCGCCTCCCCAGCCAATGCTTAAAAGTCTAAAACTTTGGAATTGTGTGTAACTATTTTATAAATATTTAAAAATTAACTATTTTTACTGCATATGCAATTAAGGACAGCGTTTCATTTAAGAAGAATGTTAAAAATTTATATTCCATGTACACGTGGTTGTGATTCACCTGATTGCGCTACCGGTTTGAAAAGCTCTATTAAACAAATTGACGTCAGTTTTTTACGCGTCTGTCCTCTTATTGATGATAAATTGTGTTATAACAATGTCAAAGTGGTTCCGCAATAAACTTTGACAATATTATGACGAAATTTATCATCAATAAGAGGACAGACGCCTAAAAAAACTGACGTCAATTTGTTTTTTACAATAACAAGACCCCAAAATGGTCAAATGCTGGGAATAAATGAGGGGAAAAAACGCCGCAAACTTGTCGTAAACAAAGATAAGTGAGTTCTATTCAAAATGACACGAACATTGTCAATAGCTTTTCTCACTTTTTCATTGGCTACTTAAAAAAGTCCATAAAATCTCGTTGGTTTAAAAGTTGACAGTTTGACAGCTGAGAGTTGAACTTGAAGGCTTGCATAAATTAAAATTTTATCTGTCTGCATTCTTATTGATGATAAAAATGAGCCAATCAGCATGCAAGAAATTAGACAGTTATTGTAAAAAACCTGTTGTGCTGAAAATAAGGGAGAACACTGTCTATGACAAAAATAGAACTCTCGTCACGCCAAATAAAACTAATCACCCTTTGCAAAAGCAATTATTTTTTAATATCTAGAGATCAAGGTATAATGCAAAGGTGAAACTTACTACAGTCGATGTAGACGCCACGGTCTACAGCAAATTGATAAATGTAGTTGCGACTGAACTAAATTAAAACGAAACCAAGCGTATTGTTTGCGTTTGTAATTTCTATATCTGTCTACGGGAATTCTCTCTTACCAGTAAATGGGTTCCATCTTTAAATCTGCCGGCCCATAGCATTTGGAAAGGCGTTAGCCGAATCGAAGGCTACAAGACAAACATTTTGAGAGCATATCAAGTGTCAACAAAGCCACAGAAACATCTTCTCAGCGAAAGCATCAGTTCATTCCAAGATTATAAGCTTATCTTTGACAAAAACAATCGATGAGAGAACTACAATAGAAGATGTACAATACTAAACTAGGGTGGGTTTACTGGAAACATTTTTACAGCAAGTTAAAAATTAAACAAACCTTAGAGGAAGCTTCGTCCAGGGTCTGTTGTTTCACGTATGACCATGCTTGTGTTTGAGAGCCAAATAGGGAAGTGTTGCACCTTATTTGCGTCACACTGCTCAGGCAAATCAAGCGACAGTTTGGAAACCTCCACGATCCGATGAATGTCCTCGTAAATAAACGACTCATGGCCAAGAAAAGATCTCTTGGTAGTGATAGAAAGCTAAAAGACTACACCGATTGAAAACAGTCTAATGGGCAGGCGGGTTACTTGTAAGCCTGTGAAAACAAACAGCCCAACCGGTGAGAGATGCCGCCAAGGCCAAGACGAATCCTCTGAACGATCGCGAACAGAATAAAACGTTATTTATCCATTCTTCACCGATGCAGGTATTAAACCGTCCGGCTAAAGTCTTACAAATTCAAGAGAGGCAGACAAAAACCATCAGTCGCCTACATTTTCGCATTTCTATACGCGTGTCCTGAAAAGTCGTCTTATTTCACGCCGGGAACATGTCCGCGCGCTATGGCCAACTGCGTTAGCCAATCATATTGACGCAACTGAAAGGCAATGTATTGGTTTGCTCATGTGAAGTGCACGTGTTTAGCGTGACCCTACCAAGTGCTCTAATAAGCAGAAGCCAAAACCACAAATTATTTTAACCACAATCTGCAATCTGTCGTTCAGTTTTTGCTGGGGCGAAACAAAAGAAAGCCTGGTCGCAGATTATTTTGACCCATAGACGAGAAATGGATAGAGCATAGGTTCCTTTCTAACGTCCGGCCGAAAATTATGAACAGGCCTGGACGCGTTACAAACAGGAAGTGAATAGTAGTCACGTAAGTGTTTTTGACAGTTATTTTACTCGTTCAATTTGACGACGTTTGGAAGAATTCGAAATCTAACTGACACTCGAGCCTTTGCTAAATTTCCCAGCTATGGAAACAGTAAGGAGCATTTAATTAATAGAGCAATCACATTGGACAGATCTGAAGAAAAGTTAAAGCCGAAATGGTGGTAAGGGAGGGGGAACAACTGAGCTGCAGCTGAATCGTAGGAAGGAGAAAGACGCGAGACAAATTGCCACTTAGCAAGCAACCCCCTTCCCCGCCCCACTTCGCCAGAAACGAAAAACAATTCTGCTTTGCAAAGATTTGCGGATGGGACATTTGACCAAACAAAATCTTGAGAATGGACCCTTTGGGCGACACGGCGGACATTTTAATTCTGTTGTTTCAAACAGCTAGTGCAAATTATACTTATTTGCCCCTAGCCTGCAAGCAGTCTCTCTTTTCCTCGAAAATCCGTTGGGAAGAACGCAAAACACGTAGTAAGCTTACCGGCGTGACTGAAAGCGTGACGTGCGATTGTTGACCAGAGGGAGGTTAGAGACTTATAATTTCTGACAAGCCGGGAGCATATTAGGGCATGTCGACGCATTTCTGTCTAATAAAAACCATGAAACAAAATTCGATTCTAATAATAATCTGATAATAATATTCCTTAGTGGTTCCTAGTGCTTTCAAGTTCGGAAAAATGTAATACAGTGTTCTTCAAGGGTGTTTACACTTCAATAAACCTTCAATGAAGAAAAATCCTTTTTTGAAAAACAAACAACAGATGAGCTCAATGAATAATCTTTAGGGGTTAAGGTGGGTGGGAGAAAAACAGCAATTCGACAGTTGATCGGGGGAAAACATTTGTTGTTTGGGGCGTAGCAAAAATTGCGAAAAGGATTAACACTAAAAAAGAGCGATATAAGCGATAATTGAATAGAACCAGAATCGCTTTTAAGTGCTGACGTTCACTGCTTTTCTCGTTCTCGCCTGAAAAGACCAACTCGTCTTCCTTTCGTTGTTTAATAATACAGAACTGATTTAGTGTCAAACAATCATCAGTGTATTATTAAGTGCAGTATGCATCTTGAAGTTATTTTAGGACATTGTTCCGCAGAGAACGTAGGAAAAAACTGTTCCGAGACTAACTGATTTCAAAATGCCCGGCAGACCCACCTGGAAACAAGCTCCTCCCGCGCTAGAGATGGTGTGCGTACCTCTGAAAATACACTGGCTACGCCCCTGATTTCCCCACTTCGAGAGTTCAGGATATTTAGAGTAGTTTTCAACTGAGTGTCGTAAAGTTACCGATTAGACTACTCAGCCAATCTCAAAACGTAGTAAAACCAAAACCAAATCCAAAGTAACAGCCTGATTAATTTCGAAATGAATTAAAAACCGCTCTAAGCGAAGAAAACACATTAAAAGGAATTGCAATATATTAAAAGACAACTGGAAATAATTTGCTCGTAATTGGTGTGCCTATTGTTTTAGTGAATCTGTGACAGTACTTGTTATGAGGTATAAATAAATGACTACCTCATTTAAACGAAGTGGGTTTCAACACTGTGAAGACACAGGTGAAACCTGTTGGTTCCTTGATAATTTGTAAACTTACCCGTTAAAGTATCAGCTGGAGACATTAGTAAATACATTTCGCGCTTGTTTATTCATCACTTGTGTTTTGAGCTCCCAGGCATTCACACCTCTGAGACCTTAAGTACATAGGAAAAATAAACAAAGGGTAAGATGTTGCCTATATTTTAACTTAGAACAAATCAGGTTTTACATCTTTAAACAGTAACTCAGGAAAAAAAAACAGGGAGGGAGCTCAAAGAGTGAAATTCACCCTGTTTGCTTTATCAAATATTTCATGGATTGGTAAGTATTGTTGGCAGAAAGGATTTCAAGTATTTGTTTAAAATGCTTTTAATATTTTTACACAATTTAACTACATTGTTCTACTGAGCGCAGACATAAATCAATTAAACAAAAGACGAACATTTTGTTTGAAATTTGACCACCGCGGAACATCAGACTGTTCATACACTGTCTGTACGATTATTTTTCTTTTCACAATGATATACAAAGAAAATTCGAGAAAATTGATCAGTGTAAAATTTTTATGCATATCTTTTTTGCTTTTGTTTTCTGTTAAAAATTTTTTTACAACACTTTTAACACAGAAAAGTGGCTTTTTCACAACATTAATTATTAAAATGTTATGCGCTTTGTTCTCTGCAAATTGGCAAAAAATGGTCCAGTTTAGATACTTTGTCGTGTCTTTCCAAAATTTTGGTTTAACATTTTGTGCTGTTGTGGCTGATTAAAAAGTTTTTTTCCATTTCTCGAAACCTAATGGCTTACACGACAAAGCGTATATTTCATCATTAACGTTGTATCATATTTTTGCATGAAATTCTTTGCTCTGATATTCCTCTTTACAATGTACAGCTGCTGACAAAACAGTATCGTGCAAATAATTTTACAACAGCTTAAGAGATCAGTTAGTTACCAATTACAACAAAGTATTTAAGTAACACAATAAGCTCCACAATAAGCACCAAGTTAGGCAAATACATGAAAAACAGCTACTTTATTTTATAAGTTAATTATGTTTATGGTTTAATACAAAAACGACTGACAGTAGGATGCTCTCGAAAGAGGGCGAGACACAAACAGAGACAATTCAATCAGAAATCGTTAAAGGAAGAAAGACGAAAATCTTTCTGAACTGGTGGCTTGAGATGAAGTATCTTGCGATTTAGAAATAGATTTGTTCCGTTGTCCGATTTCAAACCAGTTATGATAGCTTTAATAAGGTCTCTATCCTGTATTACAACAGTTACAATTTCTTTGTAGTTTATCAATCATTGCTTAAAATGTTTCCAGAAGTTTGAAATGGCGATACAAAAAAGCAAAACAAAAAACAACTACTACGTGCTAACAAAAAAGATGATTTAAGTTCTCTACTCAGCTTTGCAAAAGGTGCACGATGTCGTTTTCTTTATTTCCTGCTTTTGCGTTCAATTTGGTTCCCCCAAAAAATTATTCAGGGGCGATGACGTCATCTCCATATTCGCCCATGTGCTTTGGGTCACTAAAAGTTGTCCCCTTTTCAAATACGTTTACGATCGAGGTACCGGTAATCGGAGAGTTCATTACCTTATGGAATTCTGCATTGTGGTAAGCCATGCGTGTCTGGTGTTGTGTTTGGTTCCATATTTTTCAGCGTTTGCAGACATTCTCATTTGGTAAGTGCGTCCTCACAGTTTTCTCTGCAATCGCAGTCTAATAATTTTGTACATGTGGGCGTATTTTCAAAGAAAAGTAAGAGTAATATAGTTGTCTCCAGTTTCTAATTGGCTAATAACACTATTTTTATCTTAGCATTTTTTCGTCTTTATTATGTCATCTCTGTCTCTTGCTCTTAAAATCGCGCCTTTCGCCTTTTACTCGATTTACTCCGACGTGATTGTATTCAATAGAATTTTACATTTATTGACCGAAACAAAGGGTTTAATATGAAATTATTTCAATGATTACAAGTTTATGATAGTGGCGTTCGAAGGGGCGCATAGTGTAAAGGGGATGCGGGTGGGGTGGGGTGGGGAAAGTTTATTCGAGGTTAGAAGAGGCTGAAGTTCGATAAACAGAGTTCTAGATCACCCTGCACAATTCCTATCATTTTTTTTTCTTTGGATCTATATCAACAATAGCCTCCATTTGGCGCAGAAATCTGCTTGAATATTTGTTCGCGGACATTATCTGTTGCGACTGAACGAACAGTTTTCCGAGAGCGTAGTTCGAGGAAAACTATGAGCTTTGAGGAAGGGACAATTTCCAAGCCCAAATATCCGAGCATATTTTCGCGCCAAGTGGAGGCTATTGTGTTGCTTCAAATATTTTTCGCAACACGCGAGTTTTGACAATTGGGGAATATCACTCCGATATTCTCCAGTTTTAGCTGGGGAATATTCACTCACGTGACGCGTTGAGACCAATCGCGCGCAAGCGATATTTGATGGATTATAATAAATCATGTTATTTGAGAACTTGATGTATATCAGTTACATAGCGTCTGTATCTTTCACTCTTTTTACCTGAGGCAGTTGTTCCTCTGTCTGGGAACGTTGGTGAGCCTGGCTTAACAGAATGAACACCTTGGTAGTGTGTCTGTTATTCTTGTTGGTTGCAGAAAGGAGTGTCAGCGAATTTACTGCGTTTGAGAACGGTATGTTGTCTCTAAGTATTGACAAATAGTAAGAATCTTACCTTTGACAAAAACAGTGCCACTGGGCGTTTTTTCTTGTTAGCAGGTCTGGATGGGTTCTGGAATCTCAGTTACATTTTCCACGATTTCTTAGCTTTCAGTTAAAATTTCACACCATTCCTCACTCAGCTATCAATAAATTTTCAGATTGCAGATCTCAGCTACCGGTTAGAAGCGCCTCATTTCTCAAGTGACAGTTGAAATTTTTATCAGTTCGCAGCTATCAGTTAAAGCTTTAAAGCCCCATCCAGACTCTGAAGATTTTCGGGCAGTCATGTACTCGTTTTAATTTTAAACTTATTTTTGTACACTTAAATGTTAGGTATGAGTACAAATAAAGTTGCTGTTGTTGTTGTTTGGACATATTAAAATCAAACAAATATACAGTAGTGCCTCAATGATTTTGGCCTCATGGTTAGTACGCTCGAAACTCCGGATCGAGCGGAGCGGGCTCGAGCCCTGGCCGGGGACATTGTGTTGTTGTTGTTGTTGTTGTTGTTGTTGTTGTTGTTGTTGTTGTTGAATGTTTATAGTGGTCGATGCACTTAGCTAGTTCTCAGGCATGCCACTTAAACTGAAAGAAACAAATATTGCAAATAAACATAAGAGGCTTAAAAATCCTAACTAGCGGGAGGCGGACCAGTCGGCTATTTACAAACATGACCGAGGAATGGAAGTGGGGTCTACCGAGAAACAACTCCAGCTTACTGTGATCAGGGCAGGCGTAACTTGAACCCGCGACCTCCGGATTTCACGTCCGGCGTCTCAAGATCCGCCCATGCGGATCCACTCGACTATCACCTTGTGGATCCACAGCTACTTTGACAATGTTATGACGAAATTCATGATCAATAATAGGACAGACGCAATGGCATAAAAAACTGACGTCACTTTGTTAACTTTGAAATACCGAGGTGAAAAGCAACTAGTTTCACAATTGCTCTTCGTCTTTGATTTCCTATGTTTCTCCTTTTTATTTTCAACGTTCAAAACTCTATTTTGCAAACGTAAATTTTACACTGTTTCTTGCAAGTGTAAAATTCACGGCCAGTGTCTCATGAAATTCACAAAAATCTTCAAACTTTTGCTCACAATTATTGTGCGTTTGTTAATTCAAAAAATGTTAGGTATTGTCACGGGAGCACTGCAACACAAAGACACCAAGAAATGCGTGAACTTTGGTGAGATGAGTAATCCTCCATATGGAACTTGCAGTACCCACAGAGGGGCTTTTATATGGTGCATTGATCATTTAATGAAACTGGACACTTCTAACTGTGCTACGGTGTCCTTGGAAACAAACGGAAGGATAAAAGAGTCTGGCTGGTGTGTTCATATGTATCAAGAACGCGATGTCTTTAAGGTATATATTATAAATTAGGATATTCCCCTCAATGAGCAGGTCATAACACATGCACTTCTCCTACGAGAACCCACTTGACCACCAATTCACGTTACGACGGAGTCATAGAGACCGGAGGGTGAGTACTTGCGTAAATTTCGGATAGGTGTGTGCCGCGAAGAGTCTTAAACCCTGACCTTATTTAAGAATGACACAAATGAAAATTGATACCCTATTCAAGGGAAAAACAAAAACTAAGAATAGCGTGAACAAGTCAACTTCACTTCGTTTCTGTAACATTGGAAGTTAACGTATAGTGCAGTTGTAATATATAATTTGGTTTTTGTTTAGCTGGCAATTTACGCACTGCAATTTTAGCTGAATTTTGCCCCTGTTGGTTATGCCAACCGGGGCAAAAATGATACCCTATTTTAAGATCGAGAACCTCACAAACCCCACCCTTTCTCGCGGCACATACCTATGGTAGTGGTTGTTCCTATTTTATGAATACCTTATTTGTTAGATAATCCATAATCCTATAATCATTGGTTAGCACACCGTAAACTGCAGTCACGTGATTATAGCATTATATCATTGTACATCGATTAGTTTTGGTCAGTTTTAACAGAGCAGTTGTGTAGATCACTTATCCCGATTCATTGTGTACTCTATAGTTTTACTCCGAACTCAAAAACACAACACCTATATAGTCCATAAATGGGAGTAGCCCCCTCCCCCCCACCCCCAACCCGGGCTGATACGTGAAATGAATGAATGGACAGAGTTTTTGTGTCTCCAAGCAGCTAAATGGACTAATGAGTTTGTAATCCACTATCGATAACCATGGCTTTTCAAGTTGCCATCCTTTTAGCTTTTCAAAATTTCCAAAGAGCACCCCTGACCTTTTCACATGGAGTTTTATTCCCCCCCCCCCTCCCCCCCTTACCCTCCCCCATATACCGCCGTGGTTTGAAACTGGCTAGAGACCTTTGTCAGATTTGAACGACAGTAAGGTTTCTTCACTTTGAAGTCAAGTTACAGACACCAAGCGTCGTTCGGTTCCTCGGCAAACAGACGCAGTTTTGTCCGTCATCGTTGTCATAATACGGGCACTTGCGAGTCTCTTCGGCTTATTAGTGAACCGTCACTGAAATCAATTTGCATTCCAGTAAGATGGAAACCGACGTTAAAACTAAGTGGGGCAAAGGTGGGGTCGGGGTGGAGATTATGGTTAGGAGCCATATTCCAGGGGCTTGTCTCGTTCCAAATTTCAATCTTTTAGTTAGGGGCAATAATTTGGGGGTAGGCCCATATTTGGCTTGGACGGGCGCTTGTTTGAGGATCGAAGGGCACTGACTAGTGCTTCCGTTATTATGTGCTCACATCGTCTTTTACTTAAATTATTTCGACAGTCTCCCTGTGGTACATGGCCACGCGATCCACACTTTGAAAACGTTATCACATTTTCCGTACAGCCTAACGGGGAGATTCTCATTAACAACGTTGGATACTGTCTAACTATACAAACAGGCAACAAGTTAAGAGCTCTGAGCAATTCAAACGCGGCATGCCGGGAAAGCAGAAGCCGTTTTCGTGTAGTTGGTTAGTATGATACAAGAGACTAATGTTTGTGGTGGTTGTTTGTGTTGTTGTTGTTTGTACTTGCCGTTACTGTCAGCTTTATAACTGTTGTCGCTGTTGCTGTTCTCCGTTGTAATAAACAATGAATCTTGCCATGGTCTTGTACGAGTTTTTGGTGGTGGTCGACCTCAAAGAGTATTTTGGGAATTGTAAACTTGGCCACTTGATTTAACTTGAGAGGGTGATATATTTTTTACATTGGATAGCCATTTAATTCTTTCAGATCACTGTTTCCTGCTTTTGCTTCTTCAAGTTAAGTTTCCAGAGCTTCAGGTTTCAGGTTATTTTCCCTCAAGATGGTCAGTGTTGTGTCATAGAATCTGTGGCTTCAATACTTCAGTCATGCAATACCTGATGCAAAATCTAAAACCTAAAACAACGAGTAGCAAACGATAACGAAACGAAAACATACTTTGCACGAGAGGTGCTTAACTGGAAATTGGTAATTTCTAAACATTATTTTGGTAAACTTCTATCTTCCAGCTTGATAATGACCGAAGTTCGGTCGAAACGTCGCGCGCTTTTACCGTTAGTTTTCACTTTAAATTGTTTTAAAAAAACCTTTGTTTATAATTATTTTGGTGAGAAGTAAAGAAAACAGATTTGACGCTCGATTTACTCATAAATGCTAAAGGTTCTAGTGCTTCAATTTAGACATGGAATATAACAAATCAGTACGCTGTCAATTAACAACATTGACCGAGACTAGTAGGTTCATTTACACCTCTAAGCCACGCCCCTTATATACCAACTACGTTTCCGTTTCGTAGGCCCAGGCGCATCCTGGTTTGCCAGTGACTCTTCTACTCAAGCTTCCACTGTTGACACGAGCGCAGATCACTGTGATTATACAAACAGAAGGCTCTGCACAGCAGCCGAAGTTTGTCCCACAAGCCCTGGGGGACAGAGTGTTGTGGGCGTTATCGGTGAAAGCTCGAGCAAAGCCCTTTTCGTAGTAGGAAACGCCTTCTTGGACGCTGCGACATGCGAGCCACTTTCGCAACTTTCTGGCTATACCGTTGATGGGTTTTTGTGTTGCCCTGAAGATGCCTTGCCAAAGCCCAAAAACTATGTCAGTGACGGTGAGTGGTGGCTCTCCATTATGATCCTCATCTGTAATCAACTGCTTGGTCAATAGTAAAATAATAATACAAATAATGTTAATGATAATGAATTATGATAGTGATAGTGATAGTGATAGTGATAGTGATAGTGATAGTGATAGTGATAGTGATAGTGATAGTGATAGTGATAGTGATAGTGATAGTGATAGTGATAGTGATAGTGATAGTGATGATAATAATAATAATATAATAATAATAATAATAATAATAATAATAATAGTAATAATTCTTTATTGCGCCCATAGCTTGTGTTACAGCCGCCTTCCCTGAAAGAAATAAAAATCAGATATATTTTTTCGGAGTGTGGCTGTAACGTAGGCTGTTGAGCTCATTGATTATAATTAATTAATGACCTGGCTCGTTTTTTAGATCAACATCTGACATTAAGGCCAGTGTTAATGGCTACTATTTTGCCAAGCCAATGCTCCGGAAACGGGATTGGCAATTTTAGGTTACGAAGTTAACTGACTGAGTAGGCATAGCCAGCGGCATAAGGGAAGACAAAGCCACTTTGAAATTCCATAGACATTGAAAAATAAGCCATGTCAGTATGTCGTCATTAGATCCCTTCTCCAAGCCCTGTGACAACCCCTTCAAACACACGCAAAAACGCGTGCGCAATCCATAAGCTGATTCTAATTTAGAAGATGAAATAGAAATAGATATAGGAATATAGAAGTATAGGATATAGAAATCCTTACAAAACATTTTCAAACTCCTCATTAGATGTAACCTCCTACGCAGACGCTCTTTGGGTTCGTCGCATAATCTTCCTCCACATGCACGAAGATTGCTTGATGAACCCAATGTAGGCTATATTAGATGCAACAAAAACCCCCTTGAGTTCATATTATAAAGTCTATAAACCCAACCGCTTATTTTTAGGAATATTCCTAGGCATGCAGTACTGTTCTCTAATTATTTCATATTGCTGTAATTAGTAACTACATGAGAGTGAGGCAAACATTAAGTCCTTATTCCTTATTCTACTCTTCTAATGCTTATGCCTGCAAAAGTGAGTTGAAGGCATATTTCAGTGGTGAGATAGCAAATTCTCGTGGTGTACATTTTTACGCAGCATCTGTTTTTGTTAGAAGTTTTAAAGAGAATACTGAAATCTCCATTAGGGGCTATGAAGGCGCAGATCTAAAATGTCTTTAATTTTTCTGTAACAGGCTACGGTTACTTTATGCACAAAAGTGGGAAATGCGCCCATTATGTCAACGAAGGGCTGGTTCTTAAAAGTGACTGCAAAAGCCAAACTGCTCTCCTGAGCTGGTCCGCACTTGATGGGAGCATCAAGCAAGGCACAAGCTGTGTAGTAGCTCAGTCGCTCGGACAGTGTCCTCCGTAAGTGGTGTGATAGTCTTGATATTAGCAATAACCAATTTTACAGTTCCGTGCTTAGCAGTGGGATCTCTGAACAGAAGCGAAGATAGAGTCGAGTTTTGTTATGATACCAACCTTGCTACTTTTCAAATGTAAATTATTTTGTTATCATGCCAACTAGTTTCTAATCTCTAACATCATGACAAGATCAACCGACTTACCTCACTTTCAAACAGAGGCTAGGTTACATTTACAGAACTGTAAAGTGGTTATTCAGTTCGCCACCTTAGAAACGAAAAGAAACCTGGGGCACTTCTTATCTCACAGTGGCTTGTGGGATTGTTTCTGAAGGCAAAACAAGAGACGCAAAGCTATATTTTCCCTATTTACGACCTCACAAGCCGCTACGAGATGAGACCCCCCCCCCCCCCCCCCCCCCCCCCGAAAATAACGGCTCCCCGAATCAAAAGTANCATATTTTTCCCATTTACGACCCCACAAACCGCTACGAGATGAAAGCCCCCCTAGATTTGTTCTCGTTTCGTTTCTAAAGTGGCGAATACAAATACGTTCAGTTAAATTTAGTTTAGTTTACTTAAGTTCAGTACAATTCCATTCACTTCAAAGTACTGCGAGGACATCAGTTCAACGTCGTTCCAGTCATCGGCCGGTCGCAATACTCTCTGTTTGACACAATTCAGATATGAGACCTACATTTTAAAGGCTTTTGACGTCAACAATTATGCTTAGAAAACGGGCTTAATTGAATTTGAAGAGGAAACAACTCGTCAGGAGTTTGGTCTGTATAAACTCCTATACTTAATTTGCCTATGCCTCAAATTCTAAGAGTTTAAAGTTAAAGTTTAAAATTGAATTAAACCTAAATCAGATTAGATTTATATTTAAAATCTGAACTTCAAGTTTGGTATAAACTTTTAAAGATTCCAGTTCTCGAACGTTAACTCTCTGCAAGACGTATTCACAAGTAAGTGCCTGGTCCCTGAGGCGGGAGAGCTGAACCCCGCTGATGACACTCAGTTAGTTGAAAGGGCAGCGTGTGGAGAAGCATATTCCAGCTTTGCACTAAAAAGTAAGTCAACTAAGCAAGTACGAACAGACAAAAACAGAATAGACAGACAGGCAGACAGACAGAACGACAGACGGACAGACAAACAGACAGAGAGGCGACAGGTAGAGAAACGACATAGTGGCAGACAGAAAGACAGACCAGAGACGTGAATATGCAAACAGTCACACGAATTCAACACAGAGATACTAGCGCATAGACAGCCAAAAAACAAATAGACAGATCGACAGAGGTCTTAGTTGCTTACTTGGAAGTTAAGATAAAAAGAAGAATGTCAGTTTGCAACGGAGGGAGGGATGGAGGTTTGGTTTAAGAAGTTTACTCTTGCGCAGAGGTTTAGAGCGAAGGCGAGGCAATGTATTTTAAAGGAAAAAAGAGGAAAGCAAGGCGAAGCGGAACAAAGTAATATTAAGTGATTGGCTGTTGAATTGCCGAAACAGTAGTAAAGACAAGCAGACAGACAGACAAACAGAAAAGTTTTATACAGAAATACAGACAGTCACAAATTTTTTCTTGCTAACAAAATGTCAGCTGCAGTATGTCGCTATTGTCACCTTAATCGACAAGATGGCCGTCATTTGTGTTACAGTAACAGTGTTCGTTGCTTTTGAAACTTTAGAAAGGAGGTGACCTGCAAACGTGTTAGCTTCATGGCGTTTGATCTTTCCTCGGCGCCTCTGTAACTCAAAGGCCACTGCCCGTGACAGTCCTCCGCAAAGTCTGATAGCTTCAGCATCTTCGTGCATGAAGAAAGGATGCAATTCTATTTTTGCGAGAAACGTTTTTTTTTTTTTTCAGGAATCCAGGGATACCTGAAACATTCAAGCAATAAATGTGTTGGTGTAAAAGAGGGCAGGCTGGTGTTCAAGGGTTCGTGTACCTCTGCCGAGCAAGTCTTCTACAAAGAAAAATTCTCCTCAAAACTGGTTCATGTAGCCAGTGGAAAATGTGTTGCCGATCCCAGCTCAGATGGCACGGTATGATACGATGTAATGCAAAGATTGCTGTTAGAGTTGAATTTCGTTTGAGCTGAAAAAGAGTCGATCGTTTGCATTGCGTAGTCATTGCATTGTCTAGGTTACTTTTGACCAATGAAACGTACAATACATGCCATTTTCGACCAAAAAAAGCTGTGCTTAACATTACCGTCTCATTTGCATTGAGAAATATAGCTTGGAGGCAAATTCTGTATATAATCAAGTCCTGTTCTGCTTTTGTCTCATGGCACCAGGCACTGACTCTAACAGCCTGTGCATCAAGTGGAACGGCAACATTAACCTACGACGGGACGACTCTTGGTTATAGTGGAAACAAGTGCGTGAAGCCTCAAGGAGGTGGAAGCACCCCTGCCGATGACGAGGAGTTGGTGATTCAAACAGGATGTTCTGGCGCAGCTTCAACTTTCCATTTCGCTGGTAGGTTTTGGTAATGTTTCATCCATACTGTTAGTGAGTCGACCACTCCCTTGTTCTTAGAGGCACCAAGGAGTCCTTGCAAGTTGTAGAACAGCTTCTATTCTGAAGCTATGCCCTATATGTCTCAACGTACAAGCTTAATAGCGCTAACTGTGGGTACGACTGAGATTCTCAATTAACAAGAGATAATAAAACATAAAACCTAAAAAACTAACTAACCAATAAGTATAGCTGTTTTACAAGCAAGTGTTAACATTTGATATATTAAGGGAGGTAGAATCCGCGAGGTCAGATTTTGAGTAACACTGACCCTACCATGAGTTTCTTTTTCTCTAAATTGCAGATGCCATATTCTGTGGAGATGAGCCTTGCACATGCGTAGAGGGCTATGAGAAGCATGGCGAGAACTGTTTTCCTATCAACAATTGCGACACGAGTAATGGTGGCTGTTTAGGTAACGCCAAGTGTGTCTACATAGCACCTGCTACGAGCATGTGTGTTTGTCCTCCTGGATACAAGCTGAATTCAGATGGAACAAATTGCGAGCTGTGCACCAACAACAACTGTTACACCCACTGCCAGTTTGTAGATGACAATGAACTTAAGAGTGTGACCAGTCTTCAGACCCATGTTGAGGTTCGATTTCTGACTATCAAGACCTCTGATCTGGGACCCTATATAGGAGATAGCACTACTGAACTCGTTGTTTATGCGCACCAAATAACTATGTCTGGGACTCTGACGCTTCCAAATGGCCTTGAAAATGTTGCTCTCTTTGCCAATGAGATCCTGAAGGAAGACGGAGCAGAAATTGTGTTGTGGAACAATGCCCAGCACGTGATATCATCATCAGGGCGCCGGGCAGTTGTCAAAGTTGAAAATGGCAAGCTCTTGTGTGAAAACCGCTATTCAGATAACAGTCCATGGCCGGGATATATCCAAGGAACAGTACTGAATATCTATACGTCTAAGTCATCAGCACCTTTTTCGTGCTCTGGAAACTACAACACAAGGGATATTTCCATACAAGCTGCGATCAAATCCAAACAAAATCCAAAGAAATCTCTTGATGTTGAGCTCTATTCAATGATGTTAAATTGTGCTAAGGTCGATGCACAGGGAAATACTTTTGCCAAGAACGGTAAGCTGCTCAGAGGAAGTCTTCCAGTTTCATTGACTCAGTATGTTTTAGATGAAATTCGGGCGGCTAAGGAGGGAGAGCAAGACACAAGTGCTGTAGATGCTCTCAGACTGAGTGCAAAGAATTTGATGGAGGATCTTTCCCTTCGCGCAAAGGGATATTATAAGGTACCTTACCTGTCGCTGAAAGCACACGAGGAGATTCTTATCCTCATAAAGGATGACGCTAAAATGGCCATACAGAAATACGAAAGGTTCGAGAGAATATCCCAAGATTTTGCGGCAGGTATTGAGGCCACAGACTCTATGACGGAACTTATGACAACTATTGTGAGGAAAAACGATCTGGACGTTGAAGCTCTCAAAACGGAACTTCAAGCAGCAAGATCGGACGTACAAGCAATGAAAGCCAAACTTGACCAAGCAACAACTGCATTAGATGCTGCCAAAAAGAAGTTTGAGGAAGGGGTGCGTGCATATTCAAGACAGCAGATCGCTAATGCGGTGTTCTCTGTGCTCGGAGGTATTACAACTATATTTGCTGGTGGGGCTGGTGCATTCATGGGTTTTACGATTGAGCTGGGTTCTCTTGCGGCAGATATAAGCAAAATTCAAAAGACCCTTTTCAAGATTAACATTATAATGGACTCTGTTTCCCAGATTACTGAGGCTGCAACTACGTTCACGACGCTTCACTACGATGTCCTACCCTACGCTGGCACTGGCGTTTCAGATTACTATTCAAAATCGATGCCCGAGCAAAAGGACCAGAGTTTGGCCGTGATGGTGAAAGAGTGGGATGTGTTTGAGAAGGAAGCAGACGCATTTCTTGGAGTTGGAACTGCTAGCGGAATCTCTGGGGCATCAGATTACTTAGCAGCACTTAAGACAGTGGCAGTTTGGGGGAGGGGATACCATGAGAAGTCTATCACTGTTCAAGAGCTTCTAGCAACTTTGACAAAGCTGAAGACACTCAAGAATGAACAGCATGAAGCACAGAGGAAGATAAAAACATCTCGTGACACTGCACTAACTGCGAGAAAAGTGAACGGAGAGCTGCTCATGCAAATGGCATTACAGAAGCAGCGACTTCGTAACATAATGGTCGAAAAACTAATGTCCTTCTGCGATTCTTATTTCTACAACTGGTTGTCGCCATGTCCCGTGATGCCTACTATATCAGATGACTTGTATGCTTTACACGAGAAAGTCAATCAAGGACTCAGCGCTGTTATCAATGCTGTTGAAAACTTTGCACCTTTCATTCCACAGGAATTTGAAGCAACCAAAGTTATCGAGGACGAAAGCGGATGCAGTGGTCTTCAAACCCGTTTACAGCAGTCTGCTGGTGGAGCGGACCAGTTGGCACTGAATACACTCAAATGTCCAATTTCAGAGCTCGAGCGCACTAATAGCTTTTTATTCAGGCTTGATGAGAACGACCAAGACATTTTCCAAGGACATGAGCGGGTTCACGTGGACGAGTTTGAAATTTACTTGGAAGGTGCCCAGTTTTCCTCCGGTGCAACAAAGAAAGCCATTACTGCATGGATTTCCTTTACAGGAATGATGACAGATATATTTAGAGGGGAACGATATGACTTTGTTGCTCCTTCTCGTATAACAGAATTCACTTACAAGATCAAACAAGATGGCAGCTACGAGGTGATACAATTTGGTAAAGTAAGCAGCAAATACGAACAATACTACGATGGAGTTGCCGCCCTAACCACTTGGAGTGTCAACTTTCCCGCTACGCTCAATCCAAGTCTGATTTTGACAAGTGTAAGCCAGGTTAAATTAAAACTCAAAGGAACTCGAGTACCTGTGCAGCCAGATCAACAAAATGAGGGTCAAGGCGATCGGAATTCAGGCCAGGATCAGAGAGTTGCAAAGAAAGACAAGCCAAGACGCAAAAGTAGAAGAAAACATCGAAAAGCTTGAATCCACTGAAAAGGCTCACTGTACAACAGTAGCAGCTGAAAAAGTTCAAAAGAAATGTGAGGTTAATCCCCAATTAATGTAAAAGAAAGCGAATAGAATTAGTTTTAGTTTCAGCGAAGAACGTGCAAGCAAAGCAACGTGCTGCACTGCAATAAAAAGCACTTTTGAATAGGCAGCCGAGATATTTTTGTATCTTCAGTGTTTGACATAACAAACCCTACTGCAAGCATGAAAATGCTATATGCACACACAAACCAATGTTTGAGCTCGCATATGTTCACTTACAACGCGCAATAGAAAACAAATTCACAAACATGCATACGCAAACAAGCCGACACTTAGATGCCTTCATGCTGCCCTTGTAATGACATCTGCAACTGGTTAGACTTTCTAGTCTTCTCGGATAAGGACGATAAACCGTAGGCCCCGTCTCACAACTCTTCATAATTTATTCTGTGGGACGTAGAAGAACCCACGCACTGATGGAAAAGAGTAGGGGACGTAGTTCCTGGTGTGGTGGTCTATCTCTCATCTGATGGCTAAATGCTCTGAGATATTAGCTGCACAACCTATTCTGAAATCCGAGGGTAAATAAAGTAATGTATGTATATGTATATATGTATGTATGTATAGAAACCAGTTCAGGACTTCAGGAGAGATTCATCCTGAACTGGTTTCAATTAATATACAATGCTCCTCTAAGAGTTGAGCACTCTTTGAAATCCATTCACCGCAAGGAAATAGATTCTTTGTATGTATAGATATATGCGTAGTCTGTTCTAATTTTTTCAGTCCAAACAAGGTGACGCAGGAACTGCGCTTCGTATCTCATTACGGGTCGTGATGTTAAAACTGGAAGCTATCCGCTTCGAAACTAGGTCAAGTGTAAGACTGTTCTCTTACCACAGCAGAGAAAAGAAAAGATGTTTGAATGTGAAGATTACAACCCTATTTACCTCACTGAACTAACCCGAAACAGAGAATGTTCAGCTCTTACCAGTATTACAAATCCGCTTATCCTTTTTTTTTCGTATAGCCGAGGCCCCAGGCGTGTGTTAAGTTCTCACAATTTTAGAGAGCGTTTATTTGAGTAAAAACGTTTATGCACAAAAGTGCATTTGTTATTTTTGCCGTTACCTCCTGTCGGAAAAGAGTGTTTAGCAGGGAATCCCTTTTACTCGGCAGGTGCTTAAAATTCCACCCAAACAAGGAAATTCAACGTTTCCGCCTCTTGAGTTTTGCAACAACTTACCAAAATTATATCTTTGTGTTGTGGTACTGCCCCTCTATGTTCTCTTTTAGTATGCTTTGCTGTATATAATCCAGTCACATAATTCATCTGTGGATGTCACAAGTGACAGCCTCAGATTCATCGAATTTGAGGCAGCGCTCCATTCATTCTGTGTTCGCACTTCTCACCGAACAGGTTTTAGATGATTGAAAAATTAGCTATTAGTGAAATTTAGATCAGGTAAACGTACTCCATTCTACACAACTAAGTATATTAAGTAAACTTTTGGAGCTGATGTCGTTCCTTCAGGTAGAAAAGGCCTAGGAAAAGAAAAAAAATATTAGCCTTTTCCGTCCACATTCGAAGAAACTTCGCTCACACAATATCAGAAAAAGCGAAATAGATTTTTCCATTGTTTTTTTTTTTTTTTTTTGTTAAAATGGATAAAATTGTGAAAGGATATTGATCTGCGGAAAGACTGAAATGTGGGTCACCGAGCAACCAAGAGAGTAAATTGGAGGCGAGGTTAGCGCAGCCGATGCCAAGTCGTATGACTGCTTACATTTCTTTCGTAGCGCGCACACCTGATGCATGACTTGGCGTGACGTTGCGACATGAAATTTCGTGCTCAGAAACGATGCGCAGTAACAATGGGCGCGGTCGTCCTTAAATATAGAGTACTTAATTAAGGCGGGGTTAAGTGGACACTTCCAGCGTTTATAGGGCCTCTGGGTCACTGGTCTATCCAACAGAACAAATGGCTGAGGCCATGCCAGATTTACGATAGATTCTTTAAAGTAAGACAAAACTCTCTTGTGATCTATCACGTGATCGCCATACTGCCCCCCACTGAGTTATTGCGTAATAAATATAAAATTTCACAATATTTCATAAAATGAAGGGAAATTTAGCTCATTTTCAGGGGTTATCGATGCGGGAGAACCTCTACGACCTTTTGGGGTAAATAAAAGCATACAACGCAACGCAGTTTTTACATTCTGATGAAAAATGTGTCTTAGAAACATAAAGGAGTAGAGTTAGAATTACATTTTAGGGGTGGGACTAGTTTTGAGAGTTGAAAATTATTGTAAGGGTAACGCTAGGGAACCCTTACCCAACCCTAACCCTAAGGTAAGGATTAGGGTTTATTATCTAACCCTCACCCAAAACCAACCAGCTGCCAAAAGGTCTTAACCAAACACTAAGAGGCTTATAACGCTGTAAAATCATAAGAAACGACAAGAAGATAGCTTAGGTGAGTTTAAAGGAAAATATAATTGCCAATTTCGTGCAATTTAACGACGACAGCAGTATTTCTCAAACAATCTTTTACAACGAAGGTCATGACTAATTATTAACTACGCGCTGTATATTTGATTAAGGTTGAACTCTTATACCTTATACTGTATGTCAATATTTTGACGCACACATACTGGGCTTAGGCTACCTGTGCGGTCACCTATGAAAACGTATGTAGACTAGCCTTACGAAACGTCAAGTTCCGTATTAAAAATGTGTCGGAATACAATGTTTATCACCGCTGTCTGTATTATATTCTTAATCAAGCTACGATGGCCTAAGAACAAGAGTTTATACGATACTGTAAGGATATAATTTCGGAGAAGAACATGCAAACAAAGCAACGTGCTACACTGCAGTAGAAGGTACTTTTAAAAGGACATGATATTTTTTATCTTGTTTAGGGTTAGGGTTAGGGTTAGGCGAATGCCAATGCGCGCAAATGCAAATGGTTAACACATTCTGCCTTGACATTGTCATGTTTATGTATAGAGATTCGGTCTGAGCGAGGTCACCCAGAAAGCGCGCTGCATATCTGTTGTGCAGATCGTCAGTTAGAAATATTTTGCCTTGAATCTTGGATGAGTGTATATGCATGGCTCCCATGACAGTACAAAAGAAAGCATGTGTAAATGCCCAACATTGTTTTTCCTCACTCAACTCACGTGTCCCGAAACAAGAAATGCTATTAAATGTGTGATACATCTGCCGATCCATATTTTTTTGAATGATGGTAGGCTCGATTTTCGCGGATCAGCTAGAGTCCAGTCTACGTTTGCGGGGGAGCCCGGGTTCTTATGGGTAATAGCTCTTTCCACGGTTAATTTTTCTCATTTGCATTACAATGTAATCCAACGTGTATGCGAGGCAATTTCGGGCTAAAACTACAGAATAGCCCGAAATTGCCTCAAATACATGCTAGATTTTATTGTAATGTAAATGAGCAAAGATAACCGTGAAAAGGGGTATTACGTCAGCTGCTCATACTATTCAAGCCTCATTTCCTGCGGTTTTGACGCGATAGTACATATACCACATGGACACATGAACACTAATAAAAAGCTTTAGCTAAGCCTAAAAGTATCGACGTTGTCCTCGGCGTCACCGTCGTGGTTTCTCAATCTCCGTAATAGTGTTTTTAAAAAAAACGTGGCCAAAGTTTCCACCAGTTAGATTCACTTACCGCAATTTGGCAATTCACTTCACTGTGAATCTTTCACGCAGAAACTTCCAGCAAAAGTTGTGAAGACCAGTCTCCTCCAAAAGCGACTTACGCGCGGTTTCCCGCCAAGAAAAAGACGGCATTCTTCGGTTCCCCGGTTCCCCGTGTTCTCCCATTGGGGCTACCTTAGTCTCCCCTCCCCCTCCCCAAGAGTCTGTACAGATGGCTGCTCGCTCCGCTGAGACAACTGGGCTAAAAGGGCCTGGAGAGAGTTATTTTGGGAAGCTGCCACAAACGAGTATTTAAACGAAGACAAGCAAATAGTTTCGTTCAAACGCCGTCACACCTCAAAGAGAAACCTGTAAAGAAGACAGAAAGGGGAGAAAAATGTCTGGAGAGACAACTCATCCGATGACCGTGCGAGGGTCGCCAACAAAATACGTGAAACTGAATGTTGGAGGGTCTCTGCACTATACAACGATCGGAACTCTGTCGAAACAGGACAGCATGTTGAGGGCAATGTTTAGTGGAAGAATGGAGGTTCTGACAGACACCGAGGGTAGGTTGAATTCGTAGGCTCAGTAGTTCTCTAATGAGCACAACGTAACGCCTATTTGTGCTCATTTTCGGCGTCAAAACCGCAGATAAACTATTAGCTTTAAAACGTCGACGACGTCTTCAAAACCATAAGCTTATATATACGCTGAACGTGATGTTATAATAATGACCCACAGAAGACTTAATTAGCTTACATATGTATTCATACGTTCATGTTTTTACATTTTTTCAATTTCCAGTGTCAATCTCATATACAAAGAGCACTCCTTATTTTTGTAGCACTGATTAAATCATTTAAATTTGTCACAGTTTGGGATTTTGTACTGAAAATACAGTAAGATTCTAGCAAGAATGAATAAGCTTCCTTTAACTGATAACGTGGATTGGTGTCCTCTGTTAAAATCAGTTCTTCAGATTTTGGTCTTCACCCTAGGGTGGCGGGAGGGGGGTAGGGAACAGGAACTCCCATATGAAAAGGTAAGGGATGCTTGTCATCTTGCTTAGGGATGTAAATCAAAGATTTTGGTCTCACTTAGGGTGAGTGATCAGGATGAAATACCACTATTTTTAGCTGTCAAAGTGTCTTTTAGGGTGCACTCGAAGAGATAACAATAAAAAACGCTATCATTTCCTATTTTATGCTCGATTTCCACTGGTCTACACCAGCAGTAGTGCTGGCTCCTTTCCTGAACACTGGCTAGTAATCAAGCCTATTTTACTTTAAGTGGTATCCTTTAAGGGTCAAATAAAGCTCAAGCCATGCCAAGATTTAGGGGTTAAATTAAAATTTTGTGACGAGCATCCCCAACATTTTCATATGGGCTTCTTCCCAGGGTCTTCACTCTACAATGCAGTTGTTACACTGTTTCATAGGCTGCATAGAAGAATTCAGTAATTAGGACCGGAGAACTGTGGCAAACCAAAACATAATGAGCAGTATGGTGGATGAGGGACATAAAGGGGACTTCCTCCCTCTCCTTGGTTGAGGTTCTTTATAATAAAACTGGTGGCAATCTTTTTTCAAAGATGCTGGCACCAAAAAATAGGTTCTAACAAAAATCAGGACCATCATTAATTAGGGTGGGGGAGGGGAGAGGAGGGGTAACCAGAGGTAGCATGCTCCAAGGGATTGTTTTCGGAAGTGTTCCAGTTTGTTGCCTTGGAAATGGTAAGAAATAAATTTATTGTGTGATTAAGACAACAACAATTTGGCCTAGCAGTGTAGGTAGAGAAGAAAGAAAAACCAGTAGGGTTATCAGACCAGCTGTGAAATTCTGAAAGTAATAACTTCCTAAAAGTGGTGACCCTGTGAAAGTAACATCAAAAAATTGTAGCTACTAATAATTAATGCCGAAATTAGAGGCCTGAGTAGTAAGCCCCCTAAAAGAAGCAAGCCTATATTTATTTTATAATTAAGGCCCTCTTCAACAAAGTGTTGTGAAATGTCAATTTATGCTTCTTCAGTTCATGTTGTGCTCTGTTTAAAAAAGAAACCAAAGAATTTTCATCAAGTAACAGGAATGTACTCTCTAACAGATTAAAACTTAAAACCCAGCCAGCCCATGATATTACAGGACTGGCTAACATATCGACCAGTGTGTCATGAAGTTAGAACAATTTGTAGTATCTGACTAGCATTCTTGCTGACCACTGACAACATGTTCTGGACATTTTATTCCTTCAATAGTTTAGTCGAAAACTAGTTGCAAAACTGTGACTGAAGAGGAGGAAGTTCTAGTCGCTAAACATTTTAGTCACGAATTCATGTGATTGTATCGGTCGCAATTTCAAGCCCTGTCAGACAGTTGGTAAACTTCTGGGAAGATGTGAAATCTCTTTTGTTGGAAGTCGTAGGGAGTCAATCTAGGATTCCAGATGGAAAATGGAAAAAGGGGGTTAACGATTTTGGAATTCAGAGGGCATGGGGNGGGGGGGGTAGAGCATTTTGGAATTTCTGAAGCCAAAGGGGGGTTAAAATGTTCATGCCGCCTGTGGTAGGGTATCGATATTTTCTGGAATCACTCATTGCTATCTCAAATCCCTTAGCACATTATGGCCTGTTCTGTATATAGACCCCATCCTAGCACTTGTTTGTAATTACTCAAATCACAGCCTCGTCACTCTGCATTTTTCACTGTACCTTGTGAACCCTTTTAACTAAGTCATCCTAAAAAGAATTATTGAATTAAGAGGACTTAACTCTTCATGACACTGGCATATTTGCAACCTATCATAAATAGGTGAATTGCTAGATTCTCCTACTGTATCTGGAACATCGCACTGCTGAAAATAAAACCCAATGATGGTTGATCCAGTCATGAAAATCTGCTCCCATCCAAGGCCACATCCCCTTTAGCCAACTGCCAGCATGAACACCCTCCTGCCCCCTCTTTATTTCTCTCTCTTCCTAGTTGAGTTCTGATTTATGTTATGGAGGCTTATACAGGAGTTGGGGGGGGGTCTTCTGGCACAGTTCACAAACAGAAAAAATAGCGAATCATGGATCATGGATTTCAAAATGTCATTTTCCAGAATCATGAAAATAAGCAAGTAGGGTACACTAACCTGCACGATATCACAATGGCTTACTTTACATTATTTACAACGAAAGCTCTGTTTCTTGGTAGCTGTCGATGCCAGAGGTCACAGTTCATCTTTTCAGTCTCAAAGTCTTAAAATCATGTAGAATAGAGAGGTGAATTCATGAATATTGGTTAATAATAGTCATTAATAATAATTATTATTTGATATTTGTGATATCAGCGCTCTTCACTCTTCACAGGTAATGCAGAACCTGCAAGTCACGGCTCACAAAGAATCATGTTACACGGAAAAGAAAATAAGCTAGTCATTCATCATGAGAATACCCCTGTATAACCCTCTTTACTGTTTGATCATGGCCCTTGACTTGACTTAACTGTATAATTATGTTGTGCCCAAATTCTTGTGTTGTTTATTTTATGCATTAAGAGATCTCATTCTGAAACTTGGTTAACAACAAAATCTTGTCCTGTTATTGTTTAGGCTGGATTCTTATTGATCGCTGTGGAAAGCACTTTTCCCTTATTTTGAACTTCTTGCGTGATGGTACTGTACCATTACCACAGAATGAGGTAGAGCTGCAAGAAATCTTGATAGAGGCCAAGTATTATCTGATTGAGTCACTAGCAGAACTTTGTGAGAAAGCACTCGAGAAGAAAAAGGAAGAGCATGACCCTATCTGTCGTGTTCCTCTTATAACGTCTTCCAAGGAAGAAAGACAGCTTGTCACTGGTAAAAAGGTATGTAAAAGATTCTGCTTTCCTTTTTAAACACTGGAATGCTGATTCTTGTCCTGTTCAGTTGTGGAAGGCACTCTTTGTCTGATCCCAGTCTTCTGGATTTAATGCACAGAGTGTGTAACTTGTCCTTAATGGTTCATTGCTCCTTCTCTTTCCCAAGTTTGCTGACTGGCTTACGTCTCCTTTAAATTACTAAGTTGTCGATGATATCTCATGTCATCCACATTCTTTACAACGTATCAGTGTGTAGGAATGAATCAAATGTTTATGACAGGCATTTAAGATTTTAGGCCTGCCTAACATCTCAGGCTACTAGAGGCATGACTGGTGCACAACTTTTTTGCTGAAAAGGAAATTACCTAGTAAGTTTTTTTTTAGTTGGGTTGTTGTAAAGTTTTGAAGTGGGTAGCTTTATTGTTGGAGTAAGTGTGTGATATTGCCATCTCTTGTGAAAGGATCAAACAAGTACCCTTGGCTAGCAGAGTCAAGCCTAGTTCACACTAGTCATAAGGACATTTGTAGCATGAACATCCTGACACAAAGACAGAAAAGCAACATAACATCATGGACATAACAACATAAGGAAATAGTGTATTCTTTTCCAAGCGTCTTTATGTCAGTGTTCACATTACTGGCATGAGTGATTATGTCATATTTATGTTATTAGGTCATTATTTCGTTTACGTTGTTTGTGTGAACCGGGCCTTACCAGTCAATATCATGAAGTAGATGGTGATTTTCCCCTGCAGCCAGCTACTTTTGACAACCCTGCTTTTTCCATTATCACAGAACAGAAGATTGATATATGAACTTGATTTTCTTTTTCTGAACAGCCAGTGGTCAAACTTTCATATAACAGATCAAATAACAAATACTCCTACACTGGGTAAGTCCACATGTAGCTTTAGGATCCAGAGCATTAACTTTTATTAATGTCAACACAAATTCTTGAGGCATAAAACTTTGTAGGTGAATAGAGGATATTACACCGCGGCACAAAGATATGAATTTTATTTTCAAGTGATAAAAAAATATTGAGTAGAATTCATATCTTCAAGCCACTGTGGAGATATTTTTGTTTTATTATATAGACAAACTGACTGTTTGTAGAAACAACCATGAAAAAGCAGGAAATGATGTCATCAATGTCTTCACTTGTGAAGATATGGAAAATACGCCTCTCAGGTCGCAGATGTAGTTTCGTATGAATTTTTAAGTGGTGTATTTTCTAGCAAAACATTTGTGTCTATATTGATGCACAACATCTCATCCAAAAATGCTGCTACTTACCAATTACTTACCCAGCTACTTACATAACAATACAGCTACAAACGTTCTGTATCTTGACTCAAATGCATGAAAGCTGGTGAAAATGTGCTAACTTTAGGAAAAGTAGTTCCTTTCCTAAAAAGTTGGTGAAAATCCCAGAAGTTGCTAAGAAGTTGCCAACCTGCTTGTTTGAACTTGTCAAAAAAAAGGTAAATAGACGATAAAAGTTCACCAACAAGGCTATGGTCTGGTCTGAGGTTCCTAACTATGAAATCCTGGGTGCCCAGCACTTAAGCTTATATGAAAAAAGTCACCTGTGGGATGGTTTATCACTTTAAATCCCCCCTAAATTTATTGTCTCCTTTATAGCCATCATTAAAATGGTCACGCAACTCTTCTCCCCGTGATTGTTGCGCGACAATTCAAATAACGGCAGGGGTGGAGACAACCTCGTTTCCAGGGTCTCTCACCTTCCCGCCAAGATGACGGACCCTGGAAACGAGGTTGTGGTGGAGACTTAAATTTGCTGAAGGTGTTTTGTTTCTTTTCTTCACTCCTACAGTCAGTCAGACGACAATCTGTTAAAAAATATCGAACTCTTCGACAAGCTATCGCTCCGCTTCAATGGACGCATACTCTTTATCAAAGACTTGATCGGTAACAATGAAATCTGCTGTTGGACTTTTTACGGCAACGGCAAGAAACTTGCAGAAGTCTGTTGCACGTCGATTGTCTACGCCACGGAAAAACCGCAAACAAAAGTGGAATTCCCGGACTCGAGAATTTACGAGGAGTCACTGAACGTTCTTTTGTACGAGCACAGAGGGACCGGGAACCTACCCGACGCCGAACTTCTCAGCGCGACTCGTAGAGCCGTCGGGCCACGAGTGATTCCGGAAAGCGACGAAGAACCGTCCAGAAGGCAAGACAAAAACCGATGAAGAAAGAGAGAGAGCTTGAATTGAATCGTCATTTGGATTTGTGGGATTTGCGGTTGTGTAGTTCTACCTATGTATCAGAATCTGTTAAGCTCGGTGTTAGACTTCGAGTAGTTCGTCTTTTGCTTTATAGTCCCTCGAGCGAGACCATATATAAACGGCAAGGGAAAAAATGGCCGCGCGAAATCGGCCGTTTTCTTTCTCGCGGTTTTCTTTCGCGCCAGGCGGCGAAAGAGGGGCTACTCGTAGTCTAGCTCGATTTTGAAGGGCACTGATTCCTGCACGGAGGCTGTTTGTAGTATTTCGCCAGTATGAATTTTCAGTGAATTAAAAAGATTGATATACTGGACTCTTTCATTCTACGAACACGCAAAGGGTGGTGACTGCAAAAGAACGTAAATGGTGTATTGAACTTGCCGTAGAACTTGAAAGTTGCTTCAGTGGTGTTATGTGGTTTTAAATTGATGGGAGAAGTTTTGTAAACGTTGTAAGTGGTAGTGTAGACTTACAACAGTACATCTCGACTTAGGCTCGGGCAACATCCCGCAGAACCTGTAGTGGTATGCCCCGGAAATCTGGGTGGGGTGTGTAGCCCTTTTCGAGGCTAAATGCGAGGTACTATACCCAATACTAGCCTGCGAACGCAGAAATATTTCCCGCTGTCGCATGGTTCCGCATGTTGAAAATGACAGGGGTGATCTCCATGCTTTTAAGGGGTTATTAAAACATTCATGGTTTCTTCCGTTTCTGGGCCGAGTTCAAAGCCCGATTAAGCTAACCCGGGTATACGAGAATTTTGATTTCAGTTTTGTAATTTTCCAGTAAGGTTTTCTGTTTATATCGTTTGGCCTTCTGTTTTGAGTTTGAATAATCNGCCAAAGGGGGGTTAAAATGTTCATGCCGCCTGTGGTAGGGTATCGATATTTTCTGGAATCACTCATTGCTATCTCAAATCCCTTAGCACATTATGGCCTGTTCTGTATATAGACCCCATCCTAGCACTTGTTTGTAATTACTCAAATCACAGCCTCGTCACTCTGCATTTTTCACTGTACCTTGTGAACCCTTTTAACTAAGTCATCCTAAAAAGAATTATTGAATTAAGAGGACTTAACTCTTCATGACACTGGCATATTTGCAACCTATCATAAATAGGTGAATTGCTAGATTCTCCTACTGTATCTGGAACATCGCACTGCTGAAAATAAAACCCAATGATGGTTGATCCAGTCATGAAAATCTGCTCCCATCCAAGGCCACATCCCCTTTAGCCAACTGCCAGCATGAACACCCTCCTGCCCCCTCTTTATTTCTCTCTCTTCCTAGTTGAGTTCTGATTTATGTTACGGAGGCTTATACAGGAGTTGGGGGGGGGTCTTCTGGCACAGTTCACAAACAGAAAAAATAGCGAATCATGGATCATGGATTTCAAAATGTCATTTTCCAGAATCATGAAAATAAGCAAGTAGGGTACACTAACCTGCACGATATCACAATGGCTTACTTTACATTATTTACAACGAAAGCTCTGTTTCTTGGTAGCTGTCGATGCCAGAGGTCACAGTTCATCTTTTCAGTCTCAAAGTCTTAAAATCATGTAGAATAGAGAGGTGAATTCATGAATATTGGTTAATAATAGTCATTAATAATAATTATTATTTGATATTTGTGATATCAGCGCTCTTCGCTCTTCACAGGTAATGCAGAACCTGCAAGTCACGGCTCACAAAGAATCATGTTACACGGAAAAGAAAATAAGCTAGTCATTCATCATGAGAATACCCCTGTATAACCCTCTTTACTGTTTGATCATGGCCCTTGACTTGACTTAACTGTATAATTATGTTGTGCCCAAATTCTTGTGTTGTTTATTTTATGCATTAAGAGATCTCATTCTGAAACTTGGTTAACAACAAAATCTTGTCCTGTTATTGTTTAGGCTGGATTCTTATTGATCGCTGTGGAAAGCACTTTTCCCTTATTTTGAACTTCTTGCGTGATGGTACTGTACCATTACCACAGAATGAGGTAGAGCTGCAAGAAATCTTGATAGAGGCCAAGTATTATCTGATTGAGTCACTAGCAGAACTTTGTGAGAAAGCACTCGAGAAGAAAAAGGAAGAGCATGACCCTATCTGTCGTGTTCCTCTTATAACGTCTTCCAAGGAAGAAAGACAGCTTGTCACTGGTAAAAAGGTATGTAAAAGATTCTGCTTTCCTTTTTAAACACTGGAATGCTGATTCTTGTCCTGTTCAGTTGTGGAAGGCACTCTTTGTCTGATCCCAGTCTTCTGGATTTAATGCACAGAGTGTGTAACTTGTCCTTAATGGTTCATTGCTCCTTCTCTTTCCCAAGTTTGCTGACTGGCTTACGTCTCCTTTAAATTACTAAGTTGTCGATGATATCTCATGTCATCCACATTCTTTACAACGTATCAGTGTGTAGGAATGAATCAAATGTTTATGACAGGCATTTAAGATTTTAGGCCTGCCTAACATCTCAGGCTACTAGAGGCATGACTGGTGCACAACTTTTTTGCTGAAAAGGAAATTACCTAGTAAGTTTTTTTTTAGTTGGGTTGTTGTAAAGTTTTGAAGTGGGTAGCTTTATTGTTGGAGTAAGTGTGTGATATTGCCATCTCTTGTGAAAGGATCAAACAAGTACCCTTGGCTAGCAGAGTCAAGCCTAGTTCACACTAGTCATAAGGACATTTGTAGCATGAACATCCTGACACAAAGACAGAAAAGCAACATAACATCATGGACATAACAACATAAGGAAATAGTGTATTCTTTTCCAAGCGTCTTTATGTCAGTGTTCACATTACTGGCATGAGTGATTATGTCATATTTATGTTATTAGGTCATTATTTCGTTTACGTTGTTTGTGTGAACCGGGCCTTACCAGTCAATATCATGAAGTAGATGGTGATTTTCCCCTGCAGCCAGCTACTTTTGACAACCCTGCTTTTTCCATTATCACAGAACAGAAGATTGATATATGAACTTGATTTTCTTTTTCTGAACAGCCAGTGGTCAAACTTTCATATAACAGATCAAATAACAAATACTCCTACACTGGGTAAGTCCACATGTAGCTTTAGGATCCAGAGCATTAACTTTTATTAATGTCAACACAAATTCTTGAGGCATAAAACTTTGTAGGTGAATAGAGGATATTACACCGCGGCACAAAGATATGAATTTTATTTTCAAGTGATAAAAAAATATTGAGTAGAATTCATATCTTCAAGCCACTGTGGAGATATTTTTGTTTTATTATATAGACAAACTGACTGTTTGTAGAAACAACCATGAAAAAGCAGGAAATGATGTCATCAATGTCTTCACTTGTGAAGATATGGAAAATACGCCTCTCAGGTCGCAGATGTAGTTTCGTATGAATTTTTAAGTGGTGTATTTTCTAGCAAAACATTTGTGTCTATATTGATGCACAACATCTCATCCAAAAATGCTGCTACTTACCAATTACTTACCCAGCTACTTACATAACAATACAGCTACAAACGTTCTGTATCTTGACTCAAATGCATGAAAGCTGGTGAAAATGTGCTAACTTTAGGAAAAGTAGTTCCTTTCCTAAAAAGTTGGTGAAAATCCCAGAAGTTGCTAAGAAGTTGCCAACCTGCTTGTTTGAACTTGTCAAAAAAAAGGTAAATAGACGATAAAAGTTCACCAACAAGGCTATGGTCTGGTCTGAGGTTCCTAACTATGAAATCCTGGGTGCCCAGCACTTAAGCTTATATGAAAAAAGTCACCTGTGGGATGGTTTATCACTTTAAATCCCCCCTAAATTTATTGTCTCCTTTATAGCCATCATTAAAATGGTCACGCAACTCTTCTCCCCGTGATTGTTGCGCGACAATTCAAATAACGGCAGGGGTGGAGACAACCTCGTTTCCAGGGTCTCTCACCTTCCCGCCAAGATGACGGACCCTGGAAACGAGGTTGTGGTGGAGACTTAAATTTGCTGAAGGTGTTTTGTTTCTTTTCTTCACTCCTACAGTCAGTCAGACGACAATCTGTTAAAAAATATCGAACTCTTCGACAAGCTATCGCTCCGCTTCAATGGACGCATACTCTTTATCAAAGACTTGATCGGTAACAATGAAATCTGCTGTTGGACTTTTTACGGCAACGGCAAGAAACTTGCAGAAGTCTGTTGCACGTCGATTGTCTACGCCACGGAAAAACCGCAAACAAAAGTGGAATTCCCGGACTCGAGAATTTACGAGGAGTCACTGAACGTTCTTTTGTACGAGCACAGAGGGACCGGGAACCTACCCGACGCCGAACTTCTCAGCGCGACTCGTAGAGCCGTCGGGCCACGAGTGATTCCGGAAAGCGACGAAGAACCGTCCAGAAGGCAAGACAAAAACCGATGAAGAAAGAGAGAGAGCTTGAATTGAATCGTCATTTGGATTTGTGGGATTTGCGGTTGTGTAGTTCTACCTATGTATCAGAATCTGTTAAGCTCGGTGTTAGACTTCGAGTAGTTCGTCTTTTGCTTTATAGTCCCTCGAGCGAGACCATATATAAACGGCAAGGGAAAAAATGGCCGCGCGAAATCGGCCGTTTTCTTTCTCGCGGTTTTCTTTCGCGCCAGGCGGCGAAAGAGGGGCTACTCGTAGTCTAGCTCGATTTTGAAGGGCACTGATTCCTGCACGGAGGCTGTTTGTAGTATTTCGCCAGTATGAATTTTCAGTGAATTAAAAAGATTGATATACTGGACTCTTTCATTCTACGAACACGCAAAGGGTGGTGACTGCAAAAGAACGTAAATGGTGTATTGAACTTGCCGTAGAACTTGAAAGTTGCTTCAGTGGTGTTATGTGGTTTTAAATTGATGGGAGAAGTTTTGTAAACGTTGTAAGTGGTAGTGTAGACTTACAACAGTACATCTCGACTTAGGCTCGGGCAACATCCCGCAGAACCTGTAGTGGTATGCCCCGGAAATCTGGGTGGGGTGTGTAGCCCTTTTCGAGGCTAAATGCGAGGTACTATACCCAATACTAGCCTGCGAACGCAGAAATATTTCCCGCTGTCGCATGGTTCCGCATGTTGAAAATGACAGGGGTGATCTCCATGCTTTTAAGGGGTTATTAAAACATTCATGGTTTCTTCCGTTTCTGGGCCGAGTTCAAAGCCCGATTAAGCTAACCCGGGTATACGAGAATTTTGATTTCAGTTTTGTAATTTTCCAGTAAGGTTTTCTGTTTATATCGTTTGGCCTTCTGTTTTGAGTTTGAATAATCTCAAACTACATAAAACATAGGCAGTGAAAAACATTTTTACACAAAAAAATTTCCACTTCGGTTAACTTTCAATTCTGGGTTAGCCTTACGTCGTTAACCGGCCTTCGAGCAACCCGGCCAGGGTGTTTTTAAAAATCTTTTGACATCTAAAATAGCCACCGTTATAGTCATCGAGGTACTGTTTAGGGTATTTAGCTGGAAAAATATTTACGTGGTACATGGATATGTACATGTACCTTTACAAGTATAATGGTCTAGACCAAAATGGGAAGTTCGAGACAGAACGTCCTGATAACTTACCATGTCCAGCGACAATCATTCCCAAACCCATGGGGGAATAGCTCCCACGGAGAAAGCGTGAACTGAATGAAGGAGGGAAAGGCAAGAAAAAATGGTAACGCTTTCTCCGATTCAAGAGGGACTGCTTGTTGTCTACAGGAAGTGATAAAAAGAGAACTTCTCCTAACAGTGTCTTTCCAAATAAAAGAAATCAGGTGATGAGATTATAAGACCTAAGGACGAGAAGGTTTCAACTGTCAATGATAAAGTGATGTATTATAATAATAATAAAAATTATTGCTACGAAGACTTGCAATGTTGAACTAATGACCAGGATAAAGACGAGTTTAGGATCAAATTGGGATGAAACCTGATGTTAATCGCAAATTGTTTTTCATGGCGCACCTAACCAATCAGTGAGAAAAGCCAAAACCAATGGGATCTTGGCGCAGTGCCCACGCTTTCCCGCGCTTGGCTCTTGTCACATGTTTTTACTTTGACTTCCGATTGGTTCAATTAGGTCTTTTATTACATTTGTTCTGATTGGCCAGATTACTTTGGTTTAACGAGAGGGGTCGTCGCAAAAAAGCGCTCTTAGTGCAAGAACCCCCGAGTGTCTAGAGTCTAGTGCAACCATAGCTTGGAACTGCGAGAAGCACAGCTGTTTCGAACAGCTAGAACATGAGATCCTTAATCTCTTAAGTCTCCTTTAAGACTCCTTTTGGACAGCACTGTGTACTGTGTCTATACTTTGGTTTTACCACGGTTTGAGATTGGCTAAGTAGTCTAATTAGTAAGTAATTCGTTTGGTTTTGATTTCAGGGCACTCAATAGATCTTGGCACAAGTCGACCTTTGCTTTTATCTCCCAATCTTCGGGCAATCTTCGAGCGACGAAGTCGCGAGCGTGAGCGACCTAAGTCGCCCAAGGACTCGCAACAACAGCGAAACCAACAGGCCAGGGAAAGCATAGAGAGTTTTTCGCGTATGTCTCTCGCCATATCTGAGTAATAAAGGAGCACCGTTACCAATGAAATATTTACTCGAAATCTGGGATAAAATCAGAAAATGCCCCCTAATTTTAAGGAATAAGAACTTGATAGCCAAGTTAATGCATAAAGGAATTTCGAAGAAATCGGAGTCGGAATTGGAAAACGCAGGCCTTTTCACGTCTTCAAGTCTATTGTGTTTTTCAGTTACATCCTCGCCATCCTAAGCTGTCTTCGCTGACTTTCTATAAAAGGGACGGAACACTATAATTAGGACGGACGGTGGAGGATAAATCATCAAAATTCGCTCAAATCTCGTTTAAAACACACCAGGATGAGAAAAAATAACACCACTGGATGTTCAAGCGTCTTTGTTCGGTGAATTACGCAATACATTGAATGATTTCAATTCCATCTTCTCATCTCGATACACTCCTATTTGCGGCCGTATCAGCGCCATACAAACTCTTATGTTACGCTTGGGTGACCTCTGGGTTTTTTGTTCATCGAGGCTGATGACACGCTAATCTTCTCTTGTACGACACAGTAACAGCAGCTGGTAAAGTTCCAAAAATCTCAACCTGTGGTTTGATTCACCCTTTACCTTGGGAACGAACCATTTACCCTTTCATTGAGGTTAAACCGGTTCCCATTTCGATCTTTTCTGAACACCATAAAGCTTCAAATTCCACCCCTTGTCCTCTGTTTCGTGACGCAATGTTGATAAAGTGTTTTTAAACCCAACACCAAGATGCTGGTACGTTTTCAAAAATCTCTACGTCTTGTTTACATCCGAAACGTCTTTTGTAATGCAAAATTAAAAGCATTCCGTGATGTTAAACCGGTTTCCAAAAGACGACAAATAACGGCCAAAATGCTGTGAATTTCGACGGCTCCCTGTTTTGCTATGGAGAAAAGCGGTGTTCTCTGTTCGCAAAGCATTGTGGGGTAATTACTTCGGACAAACATGGCGGACGGTCCTGCAGGTTTTCACTTTGATGAACTGAACAAAGTTCGGGTTTTAGAGCCAGAAATTGGTCAGCAGACACAGGAACTTAAGGAGGAGTGTAAAGAATTTGTCGACAGTAAGTAGGGCTGTTTCATAAACTACATTACTTAGAGCAAAGCTAACATTTTGCTCTACATTTTGCAAAATTTGGATACCTCGGTTTGAAGTTGGTATCCACGCGGATTTTAATAGATTATGAACTTATTTCCTACACAGAAATTGGAGAATTTCAAAAAATAGTGGGAGGATTTATTGATATGGTTGACGCATTAGCCAAAGAGGTCGAAAAGGAAAAAATGAAGGTAAGACTATCGTCGCACCTCCGTTGTTTATATTTGTAAACACGCTCCAAGTCTCCTTGGTGATAGTCATATTATTGAGTTCATTATAACATTTTTCATTCCCTTTGTCCTTGAAATTTATGTTTCGATTGTTTCCAAACTACATTTTGATTTTAGAATACCCGATACCCTTCCATATGGAACTTGAACACGTACAGTGGAGTTAGTTTACGGTATTCGGCTTGCACCCAAGCCTAATTACGACTTTCACTTACTTCGATTATGATAAATAGACTGGCCTGGTAATTGGGCTGCCCTTCAGTACTATTTTTTAACTCTACCTGAACAATTTTAAGTTCATTCAACCCATGGATTGAAGAGAATAATGTTAGTTAATTCTGGATGGGGCACTTAAAGTGTTGTACATTTTTGTTAGGCCATTGGCTCAAGGAATCTTTTAAAATCGATTGCAAAGCAAAGAGAGGCACAACAACAGCAACTTCGGGCACTGATTGCAGAAAAGAAAACACAGCTTGAACGGTGAGAACCTATTCAGCATTAGTTGTCTGAAGTAAGGATAAGGCTACTTACCAGGCCCTGGTTGTTCATAAGGTGGATAACGCTATCCACCGGATAAATCACTATCCAGTGGATAGCAATTTATCCAGGGGATAGTGTTATACAGCCTTCGAACAACTGGGGCCAGATAAATATCACTGTTCTGAGGATAGTGTAGTTTGTCTTCATCAACACTTATCCATTGGATAGTGATTTATCTGTTGGTTAGTAGGTAGCTATTCATCCTTTGAACAACCAGACCCTGGTGATTAATCCAGGAGTGTGTCATCGCCTGCTTTGATATATGACAAAAAAAACTGTATGTATCCAAAACAAGAGGTGCACTTAGTGTGGGAAATAGTTCTTCAAACAATACATGTCTTACAAAATGTTAGTCAGATTTCTTAGATATCACCTCGTCAAACCTGTTTCTCAAATTTTGCCTGACGGTCTCACTTTCTTTTGCAAGGTTAAGAAAGTCTTAGGCCCACACAAGAGATACAACTCACACTGTTTCACAAAGTGACTCTCTGATTTATCATACACTACCCCTACATTTCCAGTGAATTGATGAGAATTTACTGAGCCCATGGCTCTGTTATAATGTTGCTAAGCAACATGACATGGGAGTAGGAATTACATCCTCCCATGCATTTGGCTCAGGTTTGATTCTGGCTTAGTGACATACTTGGGTTGAGTGTTTTGGTAGTGCTTGCCATGCTCTGAGAGGTTTCCCTTGGGTTTTCCAGTTTTCATCCCTCCTTAAAGATGATTTCCAGTGCACACTGTGTAGTCTCAGCACCAAAATTTTTGTGAGTCTCACTTGATGGAATGCAAATCAATGTTATTACCAACCTCTTACCTTATCTTTGAGGCATTTTAAATTCCTTTTTTTGTAGTTTCTTTGATTATTACAGCTGCAAAGCTGTTTCATCAAGTGATATTGGAAAACTGAAACATAAAGCTTTGCATCCATAATGGTGGTTGACATGAAACTTTGAATTAACTTCACAGCAAACTCGCAAGAGTGCGCAGTACAGACTGTAAATCATCTTTAAAACCCAACATGCCAAATTCCAATCCAATCTGGTGTTTTTTCTGATAAGTAAGCCCTGTAGACAAGCTAGAAGTTTTCACATTTAATAAAGTTACTGATTTTATTAATTTATATTATGATTTATGTCACATCATATGGCATGAATGTTTTCTGATTGGATTGATAAAAGAGTCAGAAATATTTGAGTGCTTTAAGAAATATTTGCCAAAAGTGGAACTTGCCCAAGGTTTGAACTGTTATAAGAATTACCAAGATTCTTTTGAATGTTTTCTTATAGTTTCCGTGTACAGCATGAAGCTTTACAGAAGGTTGAGAGTGAACAGAATGAGTTTATAGAGCAGTTTATTCTACAAAAGTGAATTTTAATCCTAAGGTAAGAGAATTACATGTATCTTTATTCAAGCCTGCAAATAATTTTTGTCCATAGGCAGGTCATTTGTCAGGACAAGGACAAGTTTTGACCTGACAAAAAGCCAGTCTGGCTGGACAAAAAAAATTGTTTGTCGTTAGAAATTAAAANTATTATTTTACCTGTTAAAAATTGACAAATTTACAAACGTTTATACCCCTAGTCACACAAACGTTTCCAATGTAACAAGTTTCCCACGACGTCTAAGGAAAACAGGAAAAGTGATGAAACAATCTCCAGCGTGGACAGCTTGTCAGTATAAAACCTCACAATAACATTCAGAGACTTGAAAATTGGCTGAAATGAATTCTTCAACTTTTTGTGAAAGCAAGTTTCCTCTGAAAGTTTTCGGAGTCAATTGAATAAAAAATTTGCGTAATTATTTAAGATGTGGAATTGGAGGTGTTCGTGACTATAAAGCGGGACTAATTTGTATATTCACACTTTCCACAAAAACATGTCAGTGGAACGGAAACTATATTTCAACCACACTGACAGATGTAAAAAAAACTATTAAGAGTTAAAAATTAAACTGATTTTTGATAATACGGACTAGAAAAATAGTTGGTTACGTTTTAGAGGTTTTAAAGTTTTTGAAAGCGATTGCATTCAGATAAGCGAAACGTGAGTATTTGGGCTGTGTATTCAATTTCTTCAATATTATTACGACTGAAAATTAATTCCACAACACTTGGTGGTAACAAACAACGAGTAATTACATAAGACCTCAGTTTTTAGTAGTTTTCAGACGAACGTAATTCAGACTAAGTGGGGCTTCACGATCTTTCACAATGCCACAGCAAAATGCGTAAATTAACAGGTAGGAATAGTGGTGCTGATATGATGTGTTTACAATTTGACATAACATTTGAGATGACGCACTGCACGTGATAAAATTCTCAGAATTGGAATAAAAACAAAACCGATAACAAAGCCTTTTTGCGTAGTATTGTGTGGCAGTATAACAAAATAACTTGTCCCATATTCGACCACAAATTTTCAGTGGAACTATTTTTCATTTTAGCAGAAATGCCCAGTCAGAGTGTCTGACCAGGCTAAGCTTTTACCTGTCAAAACCTCAAATTTACCAGACAATTGTCCGATGACCGACTGTTATTTGCAGGCTTGTTATTGGTAGTAACTATAATTGGAAACACTTTCTGAGTTTACTGTCCTGAACTTACATTAAAAAATATGTTCAGAGAGAACAGTAAAGTTGTGAAAATATGGCTCACAGTCAAGAATGTCAGCTGCTCTATTCAGTTCTTGTAAGTTTATGAAATTGTTTTGACAACTTTGTGGTTAAATGGGAAGTCATTGTTTAGAGCAGTGAGATTAGCAGAGGTTGGCACACACACCAGGGCACTAGTCCCTGCAACAAGTTCTGGGGAAAAGTCCCATAGTGTGAACTAGCCATTTTTGTCAAAAAAAATCTAGTTGCGTAGACCAAAATGTCCTCCTTGTGACTTCATGTGAACTGTTCATGGGACAAGTCCCTCCAAGCAAATTAAACTAACCAGCCACAGATCTGCATGATAAGCTCCCAGATGGTATTGATGTCAAAGAAGCAACTTGTAGTACTACTATCACAGGAATACTGATAGAATTTTGCCAAAAAAATTGAGAACTCTGTTATTGCAAAATCTTAAAAAAAAAAGCACTGGATAATAATCTGGGGTTTTTTTTTATTGCACTGATTTATTTTAATGCTACATTGTTAATTTAAGCTTAATAATTTAGTTTTCACATTTGGGAAAGTCGTAGAGTGAAAGAATGATACTGTTTTCCCCACTTTTTACTATATTGCTGTGCAATTAGTTCCCGCATGTGAACACTGCAAGGGACAAGTCCCTGCAACTATTCCCCTCATGTAAATTCTTCAAGAGACTTGTTGCAGGGACCAGTCCCAGGGACTTGTCCTGTTGTGCATGCCGATCAGGTGGACATGGCAACATGTAGCTTTTGTGAACTACTTTGTGTTAGCTAACCGTGTTTCTAAAGACCTCATTTACCTTTTTGTTTATTTTCAGGGGTCACTTTGTAAAACTTTAACTTAACTTTGGTATATCAGTAAATAAGTCCGATAATGTAAATAGGAATTTTATTGCATTCTGTTAGTTACACAAATACAATAGTCATTCTAATTAAATTAATAGTTTCAAACTTTTGTATAAAGCTATCTTAAATGTTTGTTTGTTTGTTTGTTATTCAGTAATGTTGACTATCATCATTGTCATTACAAATCTATTGTGTAGAAATTTCTTTTACTCTGAGTATCAAAATTTTTGTTATAATTTGTTACGATGATGTTGTATAATAAACAAATTTAATCAAAACAAAAATGCTACAAGATACAGCTTTCTAGGGCTAAGGCTTTGAAGTAAAACTCTACAGCAGATGTTACGATCCCTCAATACAATTTACTATATCAATAAATTTCTGTAAGCAGCTGTTCAAATCATGACCGCTATTACATGTAAATCTCCTAACACATCCTCAGTGGATTAATTTAGCTTTTGTGAAAGGTCTTGGACCATCATTGAATACACCTTTTGCCATGAAATAATCTGCAATACCATTTTACATGAAATCACTATGCATCTTAATTGCCATTGGAGATCATAAAGCAAATCCTTGTACATGACCTTGAGGATTATTGTACTTGTTTGTTTTCATTCACGGGATGTTTATTAGTATCCATTGACGTCCTTTATAGCACCTAACATGACGTCAGTGATTATAGCATAAACATCGCCCCAGGCTGTCCTCAATTGTGGTGTGAAGTCGTCTCCCAGGCCCGTCGCTAGAACCCATATTAGGGCCTCGCCGACGTGCTTAAAGAACAAAAAGTTTTCAAAAGATTAGAAAGCCTCTTTTAGTAAACTATTATACTGGGTATTTCTTGGTGAATGATCGCTGAATAGTGTGCGACCCCGAGACACATTGTGCAACAATACACGAAACGCCGCGCGAGGCAGTTGTATACATTACTTTCAAAGTATTTCGGACGATATAATTTCGGACCAAAAAAGCGTCCGAAAATAAAACCGTCCGAAATATTAACAGTACAGTATAAAAATTTTAGTAGCTTCAAAGCTCTTAGTTTCCTTTATGAGACGAACTCTAGTTGATACAGGTATAGCCTGCGAACAGGCTCCCGGCGAGGAGGAAAAAAAAACATTCGGCGACCGGAGAGCGAAGCGATCGGGGCGAGACCGTAACGGCTTGATATGATTTGTATTAATATCTCCACGGTGTAACTCAAAAACCTTGAGGGTACAGTAAAACGATCATTTTCACAGATGTCTTTCAGTCTAATTCGTGTTTTGCAGGCGTAAATTTACTTTAGCTATGTGTCATCACAGTGCCCGAAATTTGTCCGAAATGAGATAAAGAGTGTCCGAAAATAAAACGTTCGAAACAAAACGTCCGAAATTTTGTACAAGTAATGTAGTATTGAGGCTACGCACTGCAACATTGAAGAACTCGGCCGGCGTTGGAGAAATAGTCTTACCTGAAATTCTTTGATAGTCAACTCAAACCCTGCATGCATCTGGCCCAGTTCTCTCAACTTGGGTATAAGTACATCAGGGTTATCCAAATTTTGTATTGCGTGATCTAGAGCGTTCATAATATTTAAGGCATGCGTGGTGAACTGGGGCTTTGTGAAGTCGTCACCGAAGGGAAATAAGTCTGTCATTTCGGGCGCTATCTCAAATAACCTGTCAATGTAATGAAATGCAAAATTGATTGAGTGATTTTCTATAACGTACTGAGCAATGGGCCGTTTCCGGGTTGCCTTTTGCCTCTGGGTCAAAACGAGTCTTAATGCGAAACCATTCATAAGAAAAGGCTTCCGCCTACAGGTTCATTTTTTCGTGTAATTCAAACTTATTTTCATAAGAAAGGTCTCGTTTTGAAACAGAGGCATAAGGTAACTCGGAAATGGCCTAGTACGAATTAATCACAATGCATGCCAACTCTTAACGATGCACAAAGTTATTAGGGCCAAATCGATAGAGACTTAAAAATAATTTTAGAAAAACACCAGCAAGGTAATTATAAGCCACAATGAAGAAAGGATGGATAAAACGGGAAGATACAGACGGATTACGAATGAAAGATTTTTCAAGATGCGTTAAGTCTATCTACAAGCCTATATGGTTTTCTTTAACATAGCATGGATCAACAGGGTGTATTGCACCCACTACTACCCTGTTTGAGATGCCAATCTATCACAGGTGATCAAATGTTCACGGTTGGAGTAACCTCACTATCAAACAATTAAATTATGAGCTGGAGATGTCTATCGCGTGATACTTGACGAGCTCGTCAACTATCACGCATAGAAATCGAGAGCAAATAATCTAATTGTTTTGATATAAATCTACTAGTCGTTCACAACTTTATCTGAATCCTCTTCACAGACACTTCGAAAATGCCAAGAAGCGGCCGTCATTTTGTTAACAAAGGCACACTGCTACGCTCCTTACTATCTATCACAGAATAGAAAGTGAGTAGCGTAGCCAATCATGGAACGGCATTCGTGATAGGACCCTAGTAGATTTATACTAAAAACTGTTAGGGCGTGTCTGGCTACTCAGAGTTTAAATCGCGTTGGTCGTACTTGTGAAATAACAGCTGTCCATGGTGCTTCTTGTTGGGTGTGACTTTTTCCCATGAACTGCGGATCATTTCAATCTGAAGATCAGTCAGCCCGTCGGACTCTTTGCTGAAAAATTCGTTAAGGCAACAAAGTGTTACTATGCTTATTGTCTAGAATCAATTATATATATGTCTTCTGAGACAGAAGAGGGTTCGTCACCTGGGTCGAGATTTAAGGGAACAATACGAAAGGCAGAATATTTTTTACTCATTGCCGGTTATTTGCTGGTTATTGATCTTGCCCTATTCCGTAAAACCTTAAACGATTTGAAACGTTACGTAAAGCACCTTTCTGTAGTGCACTACTCCCTTTTGAGGTTGTCAAATAAGTTGCACATATTACCCAAGTTCTACAAAGGATTTAGAGTCATGCCGTGTCCAAAGCAGCAGTTTACATATCTACGCATTGCGAGCCTATTTTTTCAATTAGCAGGAGCCCATAAACGGACTCCTGTCAGGAGTCTATTAATGCCTCCTGATCGGAATCGTAGTTCGTGCTTTCACTTTCAGAGGAGAAAAGGAGGTAGGCGACAAAGAGAAAAGATCGTCGTGTTTGGCTTAGAGTTTGATAACCAGATGTCAGGTTTGATTTTTTGTGCCACCAAATTGCGCGCGATGTATACTTTGGCTTTACAGATGTGAATATGCGTTGAATTCGTAGCACAATGATGTTGAACACTACTAATTAAGTTGGACACACATTGCGATTCAGGCATTATGTGCCCAGGTTTTAGTAAAAACATATGATCCTGATGAGGTTATTTATATCGTACGTCTCCGAACAGTCAAAACTCGGCAATCAAGTTGGCATAAAATATAGATAAGCTTTTCGATGGGACTTGACCATTATACATAAATCTTTGATACACCTGACTAGCCACTGGTCTTTTTGCTTATTAATTACATAAACCACTACTTCCAAATTGATTTCTCAGACGGTATTATGTTACCGGTAATTCGAAGCGTTATGGATACGGGCGAGTATTGCATAGGGACATCTTCTCTGGACAGAAATAGTAGAAACTATAAGAAAACTCCAAGTAAAAACGGGCAAGTAACAAACATATGCAGGAATGATATGACGATGAAAGAAGATTCCAAATATACGTGTCTTTGTGGTGACCACGAACTAAAGCTCCAAACTGATCAAGACTCGACCGTGAAGGTCACTAGCTAGGTGTATGTTTGAGTATTCTGTTTTCAAGAAGTCGTACCATTTTATAAAACTCACAAGGTCTTAAGTGGAGAAGTCGTACCATTTTTTTAAAAAAATCACAAGTGAAAGTTCGCTGAAATGAGAGGTAAGATTAAAATCGGGTTCCAACATGTTTTATTAAAAACTATGAGAAACTACAATCCTTCGACCATATGCTTCGACGGATATATTGTTATGCATTTCCAGTAGTTGACGACTGTGAAATACACGGAAATAAGCTAATATTAAGAAATATTTGCAAATTATTTCAATTCTCTCTTCGGCACGAGTTCGCTACCTGGTTTTCACATTTCAGTAGTTTTGACTCGAGGTTCTCGTGATCATCAGAGTTTGATAGAGTACGAAATTATAAATTTTCCAGACGTTTTCGGCCAGCATTGTTTTGTTAAACTCTTGTGTTTTTAAGATGACTTCTTACCTTGGTTGTGGCTCTGTTGGAATGGGAAAAAGATCATAAGATTCTCTTGAGTAAATGATTCCCATTTTAATAGCACTCAACTAAATTTTCCCCTCAATCACGGGTGATCTCAAGCAAAGCTTTCGTAGCACCGTAGACGATTACGTTTTGAAATTTCACAATCCACTGATTTTTCTTTTACATAATTGAAAACAAAAATATGCAATAATTAGCGAATTGTAAAACGAGCTTTGTAATAGGGTTTTCCGATTTAGCGAAAATTAATGACCATTTTGGTTTTGTTCCACTCATTTAAAAATCGAAAAACCGGAAGGTTAATTTTGTTCTAGGCCACGATTCGAAGAGTAGATGGGGACTGACGTTGCGACAGATAAGTAAATACGGTTCTACATGAGAAGACACAAGTTTACGGGGGGTTTCTACACGAAACTGAAAGAAATGGCGTTAGATAAGGACCTTTTTCCATAAAAAGCCATCGTCGAAGTGCTGTTATTAATCTGACCACATGTGACTACTGCAGTTACCGAGACCTCAGATCGCGTCTCCGAATGTCTGTTTGTTCTTGGTTTGCCAGTGATGTCATATTGTCGATGCATTATCAAAAGTTTCTTGTTTATCAAAAGTTTGTTTTGTCTTTTTGTAGGTTTTTGTTCCATCGACAATATAACCGCCGCTACAACCATTAGTCCATTGGGGCAGAGGGGTGCAAACAGGTTCCCGGGGCCGCACCTCTCTTCTTCCTGTCCCTGGTTGGGAGGGGTGATCAAGGACGGGGTACTTCAAGAGCTTTTCGTTGTATACGACCTAGTTGTCAAAATCCTCTCGTCAAACTGAACTACACATATGATTTCACGTATCCTATATCAAACATTGATCTCTTAAAATCAGTTGTACCCTAAATTACCCCGAAGTGGTATATATACTCCACACAAAAAGTCCCTTTGCACCCTCCAATTTTTTTTTTTTTTTTTTTTCGATTTCGTGTTGCCTGAGGTGGGGCGTGCTTTTCGCTCGCGCCTAGGTTCTCAATCAGTTGCACGAAAATTCAAGCCGGCGAAAGAAATAGGAAGAAGAGAGAGCACTAGAAAAAGTCTTTTTTGCTTCTTCACTCGCTCGCTCGTGTACATGCGTCTCCCCGCTATCTAAGAAGACACGCCTAAGGAGAAGTGACGGAGATGTTGGTCAAGACCTCCTTCGAAAAAGCACGGAAATCCATTTTTGGCAGCGTGGCTCAGGTTTAATAATTTTTACCCCAAGGTTGCCAATGTAAAAACAACCATGCATCCGTATTTAAACAATCGTACCCAAATTTGCCAAATTACAGTCAAACCCCTATTAAAGTTATCAAAGTCCCGATGGGGGCTTTTCTATTTTTCTACCTCTATTAAGCAGCGAGTCCCCTTTAAGCGGCCACTATCCATTTCCCCGATGGTGACCGTTTAATAGGGGCTGAACTGTAGTTTCTCAATTCCCACTCCAAAATTAGTGAAATGTGATGTCCCCCAGGGCACTATCCTAGGACCTTTACTGTTTTTATTGGATGTAAATGGCCTGCCAAATTGCTTACATTTTCCACAACCAAGAATGTATGCAGATGCAGATTTAAAGCGAAACTTAACCTGGGATTGTTGTCATATACAGAGTATTTGTAAAAAGATTGCCTCTGCTTTGGGTGCAATTATTAGATTACCCCATCTTGTTCCTTTTAATGTTCTAATTGACGTGTATAATAGCTTATAGTTTAACCATATTTTGATTATTGTAGTGTTGTTTGGGGAAACTCAGTGCGGTGTCGGCCTTTCTGAAAAACTACAGAAGCTCCAAAATCGCGCAGTCCGTATTTTATTGAATGCAAGCAATGAAGACGATCTGATATTGAAAAGCTGTTCCAGGTACTCGGCTGGCTAGTAACCGCGTCCGTTATGATGTTCAAAATTTTACATGGATTGGCCCCTGGCTATCTACAATTTCGATCGACTGAGGAATTCTGAGAATAACGTGGCTTTGCCGCAGCCCCGCACCAATTATTTAAAGAGGAGTTTTTTCCTACAGCCTTTCGGTTCGTGAACTCCGATCTACAGTTTCGTTAAGCGAATTTAAATGTAAAGTGCGTCATTGCAGCTTTGAATGAGACACGGCATCTTTGAAAAGCAGCTTTAGTGGTAAGATAGGTTTTTATATTCTTATAATACTATACTGAACGAAGTTTTACCGCATATCAACAAAGCTATCAATCAATCAATCAATCAGTCAATGGGTCAAGTACCCTCCTCCTTCCCCGGATTCTTCTACTGACTTGTGATCAATAAAATGAAAGGCTACTCATGATTTCAACCTCTAATTAAACGGCACGGAAGTGCTTCTCCGGCAGAGCCATATAATGAGGCCCCATCTCCTCTAGCAGACGGGGGTGGGGAGAGGGGTCGTGGCAAGTCTTGAGGCGCAGTCTATTCGGGTGACGTAATAAAACTAATGGCAAAAGACACGGCGGGGAAAAAGAATTCTTTCGCAAGTAACCATGATGTAAATACGAACTAGAGAAGGAATTTGGATCTGATCGGGTCATTAGTTTGTCAGGAAAACCGAAGAACTTGTAGGAGGGGGGCGTTGGGATTTGCGGTTTTGCGGATTTGGCCAACTTTTTGTTCCGTTTTTCGGTTTTCGCACTTAAAAACTGCGGTTTTTCGGTTTTGGTGTATTGTACGGTTTGCGGGTTTTCTCCAAATTTAATAGTCTTTGGTTTTCGGTTTTTGTCAACAGTGATGGCGGGTTTTCGGATTTTTCTGCCCAATGCATTTTACGGTTTTTCTGGTTTTGCCAAGGAAGTTACCCCCCCCCCCTCCCCCGTAGTCACGCTAAAACTGTAATTCCAAGCTTTAGAGGAACGCTCGACAAGCCTACTAGTCTCTTCAGCAGCCGTTATTTCGCTTGTAACGGCTGTCAAGCAGACTATGAAAAGCTAGAGATGACATCAAGCAAAAGACTATTTCTCAAATATCACGCGGCTCGGAAAATATCTTGTGGACTTTGACCTTAGACTGTGAACCGTTGCTCAATTGCGAGTTGTCTCCCCTATTCGTTGCGGGAATAACATTGCGCTCACTTGCTCCGTTCACAAAGGAGAGACTGTTTGGTTGTAAAATTAAGTAGTTTGGTTGTAAAATGGGGCTGCCATCATTGTGCCTACACAAATTAAAATTCTGACAGTAGCAATCAAAAAGTAACTTCAGAATGTGGTGTTTCTTTTAAACAAAAATGGCCTAAAGTCATTTTATTGTGCAATTTGTTTCTATGTGAAGGTGAATTAATCAACATGACACGAGCGTGGGACAAAGAAAAATTCTGAGTCCCCGACAGGAATCGAACCCATGACCTCCCGAACACCGGGCGGGCGCTCTATCCACTGAGCTACGAGAACTCATGGAGAGCAAGGTCATTTAACTGAGTTCATATAT